AAGGTTTAAGTTTTGGCATTTTTATGTACTTCCTGTAAATGGCCTGAAAATCTGAACCATCCAAAAACGTGTATTTACGCTGCAGACGAACTGATCCATGGTTCAGCTTGAGCCAGACTGAAACCACCACTTTCGGTCCTTTGGTCCAGACCAAGGTCTGAGGCACCTTTCACACCTGCTATTTCGGTTAGGACCAAACTAGGTAGGTGGAGAGTCTCTGCAATGAATTATTTCTTATCAAACCACACTGAGTAACTCATCTTGCATAATTATGCAGAAATTTTGGAGAATTGGTGGATTTCCTCTTTAAGGGAATACTCCAGAGTTTTTCCAACCTAATCTCCGTCTGCTGGGTCTGAAAAACAGAGTTGATCACCAGGGACAAGAACTTCAATGCATTTCCCGGCACTTAGAAAAGAAGAGAAAACCCGCTGACTCAAAAGTCACTGATAATAGAAGCCTATGGGCAGCTGCTTCAGCACCCGCCTGTTACCTTCTAACGTAATGTCACTGTCAAACTAAAAGCTTTTAACGTGATTAAAAATGTCAGCTAAACTTTATATTGTGTGAGAATCTCATGGTTTCATGAATAGGCCAAGAAAAGGTGCAAAATTACTTTGGGGGGAAAAAGTGTTACATTAACTTACATTAAAAGTTAAGACTTAAAGTCAGTCATTCGTGACAGTCAGTTTTTCATACCATCATTTTAGGGCTGGCCTGAACATACCAGTCCTTGGGCAAAGGGTGGGCAATCTGATAATACTTTATCATTACAATACATTCCATTACAAGATGCTTTTCTGAGCATATCATGGACATCAGTACTTAAAGAACACGAAACTGTATGCTTCATTACAAACACAGCATAACCAGTCCAGTTTAACTAGATTTAGTGCAGAGTGTGAAACACTGAATAAGAATCATTCTACTCTCAGTTTGTAGTAGTATTTTTAAATTGGGGCACTGCTGGGGCTCTTCGTTCCAACTTATATACGTACTGTATATCATGAAAACTGTAAGTATTTCGCTGCTGTCAGAACAAAAGCTCATATCTCCATTTTTTGTTGTTTTTCAGTTTCTGACAATTTGAAAATGCATGTTGTCCTTTACATCGTGTGTAAATTTCTTGATGAACGGACTAAAAGAAACGGCCCAAAATGACTTGGAAAAATGTCTGGTTCCATTGACTTACACTAAAAGTAAAGTATGTTTTTTCTTTCTCCTGTAAAGCTACTATTTAGGAGATACAAGGCTTTGATCCGACAACAGCAATATACAAAAGCTTAAGTTTGCTCAAATATAAGAACAGTTTAGTAATGAAACTGTTGTAGTATGAAGTAGGGATGTGCACAGGTACTAAAGTCCTCCACCTTACAAGTTACCAGTATTTGAACACTGAAGTCACGATTCACGTCTTCACTTGTGTTTTTCCTGAAGCTGTTTTGTCTGATATCTGAAGACCCTAAATTTGTACAGTGTACCTGTATATCTGCAGCACAGAGCACGTTTAACCAGCTTAGCTGGTTTCTACAACAATCTCATCTCAATCTCTTCTCTGTTAGGTTGAATAACTGTGGTGTTATCGTAGGATGTCGCATCATCCAGCATTTAAAAGCTCAGTTAAGTTCAAGTGTGGGAATCTTAGTGTCTTAGGGTGCTTTGAGTGTAATAAACCAACACATACACAACATTTGACACATAAAACTTGCAATAAATAAGGTTTTAATGTTACTCTTTAACTCGATCACCTGTCAGCGGTGCAGATGTAAAGCAATCTGAAGATTTTATTTTATAGTGACTGCTTGCATGATGTGGAGCAACAGCTGGTCCATGTTCTCTATAGTCCTCAGGCATGTATAGTTGTAGTTATTGTTTACTGTAGAGAAGAAGTACTAGTTTTTGTATAGTTTATCTGTATTATAATCTGTCCGCTGCTTGTGTTCTGTGATGAGCAGAAATGACAAAGCTGACTGACTTTTTTAAGGGGTTTTAAGGGGTTAATGAAGTTAGCTTACCGCATAGATAACATGGTTGAAACAGTAACTCAGTATCAAACAATCCGCTCAGCATCTGCTTTCCAGGCTCACGTGTGGAGTCATACTGCTTATTATTCAGACAAAGTAACTATAAATGAAGTGAAAATGAAAGGACTGATCTTTTGGCAAACACATGATAACACGTCTCTGTATCCAAATCTAAATCTAATCTCTGTATCTGTATCTAAAGTTGACATTTTTTAAGTTTACTTCTGGTTTTGGAGAAAACAACAACCACTCTGTTGCAGCATCTTTCAAAAATCAAGCATCTCTTGACCAAAATACATCTTCACATTAGATAAAGACCTAAAAAGTGACTATGGCTGCTAGGCACTGATTGGAGGGCTGAGGAAAGTGGGGCGGGCCTTGAGCTGGTCTGATTGGCTCAAACCCTGATGTTGGCAGTCTAGTCACAGCTGTTGTCTCTGAATGCGCTACAATTTACAACTGATGAAGAGCAGCATGCAGTATACAGTATATACTGCTGCAGTATAGAGTTTCCAATGTGCTATTTGGAACACAGCCGCTTATAATAGTACACCAGTGAACTGGAATTCATTACAGTCACATGAACATTTTTAACTTAGTCTTTAACCACCTCCACTCAGCCTGCAACATTATATTTTATGGTTGTTTTCTGATCTGTCTGTCTGTGATTTTTGTTAACTTTTCATATGATTCTGATATGTTTTAGTTATTGTTACACTTTTATTATTCTTTTTATTTATTTCATCATCAACTCCTATTCTTAGCTCCTGCCAAGTTACAGTGGATAATAATAATAATAGTTATTATTAATTACTAATTTATTATTAAGTTACTGTTTATTTCATTAACCAAAGTGTGAAAAATGGCTCATCAGATCAACCCAAAATATTATCATGTGGTAACAAGTAAATTAACTAGTTTTATTTAACCTAAATACAATAAATGATTATTTGAATTCATGTATTTCTTTTGTTGAATAAAACTAGTTTAATTTTTGTTACTTCATAAAGTAATTTTTTAGGTTAATCTTTACAGTGTATGTTTATTTACTTTATCCTTATTTAATCTGTTACTTATTAAGTTACTATATTGTTGCAATTTTAATGGTTTATTACTTTTCATAATTTTTTTTACTATTAAATTTACTATAATGATAATTATTACTTTTTTAGAATTCAATACGTTTTTACAATCTAATATTTTCAATCTAATGTTTTCTGTACAAGCTCGGCTACATTGTAAATGAGGGTCTCACTCAATTTACTCAATTTAGGGTTTAAATAAACATTGACTGAATAAAACTTTAAGGCAACATATTTTTAGTTCTCTTACTAAATAGCAGAAAATGCATGAGAAGAGTTTGATGTAGAGTTTGTAGAGTTTGCGTTCACTGCCTGGTTCATACAGTCCATTCATGGAACATAAGCTGCAAAATCAGCCTGTTTTGAACATACTGTGTTTGTGAGGTGATGGAAAAAAATATTTCTGCCTATTCAGACTAATGCAGTTTAGCCCCGCCCCCTCTTGCTGAAGTTATAAGCAGCATTTCAGCCCCAAATTGCTTTCTGAATGAAGGCAACATACAGGGCATCCAATCAGAACAGAGCTCATTTACAGACATCAGTCCTAAAGGCGCAGCAACAAAAACAAGGTTGGATAATGTTAATGCACAAATTAATTAAGACTATTTTTAGTACATAAAACACATTTTAAAAAAAAATAAGGCAAAAAATGTACGATACACCCTTTAAAATCAAGACCATGAAACAAGCATCCACTGGCTTGCAAAAAGCAGCATAGATGATAAACCCAAATATTTTACAGTCCAGGCCTCTGCCCACGATTCACCACTGGACCGTGCACTGATCTGCACTTTGCTCTCAGCTCACTGGAGGTCATGTCAAACCTGGAACCGCGACGGTTTTAACAGAAGAAACACGTTTCGGTTCAAACGCCACGTGCAAATGTTTATTTATTTTTGTCAAGGACGAAAGAATCGCTGTTGGCGAGAAGCGTAAACAGGTTTTTTTCAGCCTGGATTCAGAAGCCAAAGTCAGAGCGATAACGTGTGACCCAAAGTAGCGCTCCGTCAGAGCAACCGTGTCCCTGTGTGTACCCTGAGTCACTCTTACAAGCCAACTGATTAAACCTAACAGAACTACAACAAAGCAGAACATGAAAGTGGTAAAAATTATATTTACAGTCACTCTGTCAGCATCGTTCTAGGATGAAGAGTACAATATCGAGTTCGAGTCTCAAATGGTAGGACTGTCACAATTATTACATAAACTGCGTTGAGTTGGTCCAAATAAATATACAGTAAGTAAATTAAAGCAGTAAATGCATTCACTCTTAAAAAAGTGGTTCCTTAAGGGTTCTTCAGTAAAGAAAATGGTTCTATGTATGGTTCTATAAATTCTATTAGAATTTGATTTTAATTTGCATTTTTGCATTTTTTAAATTTGCATCTTGATGTAGAATTTGTTAGTTTTAAACTAAACTTTTTACTCCCCATTTATGGAAATTAATTTACCATTTTGTAATGTCATGAAAAATGTAACAAATAATAATTTGCATATATCTGCTGACTCGGCCAACAGCAGTTTAGCCCTGCCCTCTCGTGCTGACGTTATAAGGAATGTTTCAGCCCGGGCTGCTTTTTAAAAGAGGCATAATACAGGACAGCCAATCAGAACACAGCTCATTTATATATATCAGTCTTAAAGACACAGTAAACAGACGTCATGTCAAAACATACTATGATCATTTTTGGTGCATAAAACAAACGTTAATAGTTACTCCCCAAGTGAAAAAAATAAAAACAAGAAAAATCTAGGATAAATTTTTGCTACCAATGTGATGCCGATCCCGGCGTAGACGATATATCACCCAGCACTAGTACTGCATGTTTTTCAGCTTTCAATTCAAATGCCCACAGGTTAGGCTTCATTGTGAAATATAAGACGCTATTCTTACCTGTGTATCCTGCCCACCAGCCCCACGATGCCACCATCGCCAGCAACCACCTGAACATTACCCCCTCAATGTACCAGAAAGTCTGACTGTCCATTATTCTCAAAGGCTGCAGCACAAGCAGGTAGAGGCAATAGGACGGGATCGCAACACAATTATTGATGAACATGAAAGTGAAACGCAGCAGTGCCTTCAGTAAAATCCAGCCCAGCCTGTGGGCCGCTTCCAGGGAGGGTGTCATTCTGCAACAACCTGTCTGTGGAACACAGAAAGAAAGGCAGCGTAAGTAAAGGATCTGTCAAACGTAAGCACTTTCAAGAGTGTAGACGTCTTCGTTTGCTGAGTTTGGGTCGATCGCATTCCAGTTCGGTTTAATTTTGACTGAAATTTACTGACATTCTCACAGACAGATTAACACAAAACTGGAATAACAGACTGCATGTCTGCTTATCCGAAGCTTTCATAAGGGGCATTTAGGCTAACTACACTCTTAGAAAAGGTTCTTCAGAGGTTCTTATGTAAAGAAAATGGTTCGATATAGCACCAAAAAGGATTCTTTTATTGTGACACCATAACAATAGAAGAACCCTTTTGGGTGCTATGTAGAACCATTTTCAAAAAGATTCTATATAGAGCCTTCTACAGCACATTCTCAATCAGTCTCAAGAACCCTGTCACGATGCCAAGGGTTGTTTGCGTGTTCAAGGTCCTATACAGACCTGTTGTCTTTACTAAAGAACCCTTAAAGAACCATCATTTTTAACTGTGTAGAGTTCATTTTTATGTCACAATCATTACACAATCACCAGATCACAATTATTTGAGATGATCGAAATTATTTAAACTGGCCGCAATTATTTTCCACAGCTGTTAATCACTTCACAGTCACTGTATCACAACAATCAGCACACTAACATACCATACTGGGTTACATTTTAACTGGCAACTTCATCTTCATCTGGAAGTGAAACAGATTTACTAAACTGTCATGAGCCTCACCTGCAAGTGTTACCAAATACCAAATTCAGAGGATCCTCAGAGGGATTAATAATGTTTATAGCAGATCTAGCTGCTTTTGTAAGCTGGAAAACAGCTGCAGAACAAGCGTTTTTCGCTCACAGTCTTGAGAGAAATGTGAGCTCTGGTTGACGACTGTGTAACTGTTAATTGCAAAACACAAGCTAGCTAGGAAGCAAGATGGCTAATCAGCCAGTTTAGCAGTTTGGGCTTGTACTTTAATAAGAACATAAAAACAGGAATAAACAACTAAATTATTATTTAATCATCATTAAATCATTAATCGCTATTATTTACAAGCTAAATAATCATCAACTAAAAATGTATGATCGTGACATGTGATTATGTCCCTCAGCCTCATCAGATTGACAAAATTCACAATTTTATATTGTTTTCTCTCACTACAACACCAGCATTACACAAATACGTCATACAGCCATTGGGGATCCCTGTGGTGTCACTCAATCCTAACATTAGCTTTTAGCTTGTTGTTCTCATCTAACAAGTCATTTCTGTTGTTTGCGTAAATCATTCTCTTCACTGTACTGATGATATGAAAACAGTTGCAGCTCCTCTGCAAAATGTGGGTTGCATGTTTACAACAGATTCAGCAACAATGACAAGGACAGAAAGACCATTTAAACAGGGATTTTGATAACTAGTAGCTACAAAAATCAAATAGCTGACAACCTCCAAAGAGGCTTCGTACTAATACATCTAAAGTTCAGGCTCATGACCAACAAAAGATGTGGTCAATCTCAAACTAGCTAGACTAGGTAGCATGTGACCAATTCTAGTTAGTGACCTAACTGGACTAGTACATGAATATGTTGCATTAATTTATTAAAATGTAGCTACCAAAAATAACATTAGTGCTCCATTATGCTCAGTACATCAGCATTAGATATGCACCAACACTGTCAGTGCTAGAACGGCTATCGGAGAAAAACATGTAAGTACATAAAGTATTAATAAATTAAGCATAACTAGTGGAAACTAGCTGGTGGTTAATTATGCGTATTATATAAAAACTACAGATGCACCAGAACTCTCTTTAAAAAGGTGGTTCTACAAAGGTTCTCTAGCAAAAGGAATGGTTCTACTTAGAACCATGAGCTCTACATAGAACCATTTCATGCTTAACAGGTTAGAGAATGTGTTGTACACTCTTAAAAAAGGAGTTTCAGGGTTCTTTAGTAAAGAAAATGGTTCTATATAGAACCATGAACATTCAAAGAATCCTTTGCATGATCAAAGGCTTCTTTGCATCATGAAATGGTTCTTCAGATTGATGTATGTGTTGAATGTGCTGCAGATGGTTCTATATAGAACCATTTTGAAAAGGGTTCTATTTAGCACCAAAAAGGGTTCTTCTATTATGACAAGCTTGACATTGTAACAATAGAAGAACTCTTTTGGTGCTATATTCAACTGTTTTCAAAATGATTCTAATTAGAACCATCTATAGCACATCCTCCACCAATCTGAAGAACCATTTTCCAAAGCAAAGAACTCTTTGATCATGCAAAAGAGTTCTTTGAGTGTTCATGGTTCTATATAGAACCATTGTCTTCACTAAAGAACCATTGTATATGGTTCTACATAGCACCAAAAAGGTTCAAGCCTGAACCACATACCACACATTCTCTATCAATCTGAAGAACCATGTCACCATGCAAAGAACCATTTAAGCAAGAAATTGCTCTATAAAAACTCATGGTTCTAAATAGAACCATTCCCTTTACTAAAGAGCCCTTGAAGAACCATCTTTTTTAAGAGTGTAGTTCAAGGACGTCCCCAGCACTGAAAAACCACATCAGCTGTCTATCTTCAGCAAGGCTCATATAAAGACGCACCAGCATGAAACAAAGCACAACCATCAGCATTCAAGGTCACTTAATGCGCCTCCAGCATTTGCCAGTTGAAATGCAGTTGAAATTACTTCTACTAGTCAAGCTACTTTAACTAAAAACAGGCTAGATTTTAAAGATTTACAAACTTTACCTCCCATATTTTTGCAAGTCAAATTAATACTAAATAATTTAACCAGTTAAAATTTCTTTGTAGAATAATATTTGAATATCACTTAAGTCTTACTGCCCAGCTCACCTAAAACACCTCCCCCGTCTTTCTTTAGTTCTGCAACTCCTAAAAACCAAGAAATATGGACTACACCAGCCATGTGTTATCACATGGCTTAACGATTAACATATTATTAGCATACCCGCTTAATTATTAACTTATCATTAGAGTGGCTGATTAATTATTAACATATTAGCATACTATCTCAGTCAAGACAGTATTTAGCACATTAGGCTTCATTAGCAACACTTTCACATTTTCAATTATTAAAATGATTAAGATACTGGCATTAAAATGATTAAGGTATCAGCTAACATGTTAACATATTAGCATGCAGGCTTTATTATTAACCTGTATGTCAGAGGTCGTTCGGGCAAAATAGGTAAAAATGTGTCAATTATTATGAAGAAGGATAAATGAGTGAGAGCTGCCTGTAGCTAACCCTCATAATAATAAGCACTTGAGATTTATAAGTTTATAATCGTCATTATTATATGTATAGACAAATAAATAAAAAGGCCGCTAGCACAAAAAAGAAGGGGAACTCCACAGATTTCCCAAAAACTCTGCATAATTAAATGGCTTACATGTCAACAGAGTCATTCAGAGCGGTTTGGTTTGAAAAGCTGTTTCAGAGAAACTTACCGATCACAGTGGTGGTGATAGGAACCAGACATCCACCTCTAAAAGCTCCCTCACAGAAAGTTACTACATGAAATGGTTGTGAATACACTGCCTGAAGTCTGAGACATTGTTGTACGATAGTTTTGAGAAGATTTTGGCCTAAAATGTATTTTTAAAATCCTACATAGTGGAGGGATACACGTAGGGTACTGTGAGGCAAAATAGTCCCCAAAGAAAACTTATTTTTTTCCAGAGGTTTCACTATTTTTACAATCATCAACATTCCATATAAAACTCAGAAGACACATGTAGGTTCACTGGTGGTTTTGGATAGTAAATAAAAAGGCTATGTTTCTGGTTTCTATCACCACCACTGTAAAGAAATGAGTGTCCAAACCACTCTGAATGACTCTGACTGCATCTCAAACACTTAATTATACAGAAATGTTTGGAAAAAAAAATAAAATCAATGGAATTCCCCTTTAATATGACAAGAAATGAATTAATGAATGAATGAGAGCTAACAGGAGCTAAGCCTCATAAAAATAAGAAGCACCTAATAATAATGACATTTATAAGTTTATAATCGTGATTATTATATCTATAAATAAATATATACACAAATAGAAGGGACGACAGTGCATAAAATGCACAAATAACAGTATTTAGACAGCTTAGCAGAGATAGAGCACATAGTCACATAGCAAACATGCCTAAAATGCATATTAGGCAGACAGCGTAGCAGAAATAGCTATATAATTAACATTATGTTGGTGATCAAAATAAATAAGAGCTTATTTAGAGAGCTAGGTTAGCCTAGCAAGCTAACGCTAACGTCCCTATAATGAATGAGCTTCTCAGCTAACGTTAACGTTAGCAGATTAATATTCAGATTAATCGTTTAAATCATCGATTGAAGTTACTGTTACTCCAAAAAAACAAGTATATTTTATCATCCAGATAAAATATTAAACGCCGTTTGCTGTCAGTTGAGCCGCTGCAGCTAAGCACAAGTTAAACAGTTATGTTAGCCAGCGCCTAGCTACCGTTAGCCAAACAGACGAAAACAACCGTTTTAACCCATTTTTAGACCATTTTAACGCCGAAAGGTGAAGTTAGAAATATGGATTAAGTGGATTAAGTGGAACTGACCATCCATACGAGAGCTTTTCAATCCTGCTCCAACATTAAACGGCACATTTTCAGCGTTAGGTCACCTCATTCAACTCATTGGAGCTCATTCTGAAGCAGCAAAATGCTCAAAAATGGTAAAAAATGGTTTAAAATACTGCCAAAGACAACAGACAGAGCAGATACAGCTTCACACGTGACAAGGCTGACGAAGACACCCATAAACGAGCCCCAAAACATTAATTCAGCCAGCTTTTTTGGAATTCCCCGTTCCACCTTAAATGGTGCAGCCGTTCCATTCTGGCGCCTCCGGCTCCAAAGCGTAACTGCTGCACCTATTAAGGTGGAACGGGAGGCCAACTTCAGCCTCCTAAAAATTAGGAATAATGCAGCTCCTTTCAGTCCAAGGTGACAGATGGTGGCACTCATGGTCACTTATGTTTGTTATCATCCACAAATAAATGCAAAAAACTCCTGCTGCTGTTTCCAAAATACAGTTAGGTAGATGCTGATAGTTGAAGTGCTGCCATTAAAGCGGCTCTCACCGTGCAACGAAGAGCAGCGAGGCCGATGTCAAAGTCACATGGAGATCAGGATGAATCTGAACCCCCTCTCTAAATCACCACCATCATCATTCCCACCGAATAAAACGCTGCCTTTTGAGCCAGGTTGCCAGTCCGCGCTTCTGCTGGGAGCTACAGCATGCTGCCGCTTCAGTAGCCTCCTATTAAAGGCAACAGCAATACGGTCTATTATAATAATAACAGTAATTCACTCGATGCAGCCAAAAAGCCCCGTTTTTCGCCTCCAAGTTGACGGCGTTGATGGTGTCGATGGTGCTGGAGAAGCCGCTGGTGGTAAATCGTGACGCTCCAGGCTAAAAAGAAAAACATATAAATGTCTGCAAATTTCTCCCCGAAAACCAGCCCGATGTGAGTGGGAGAGAGGGGAGAGAGGCTGGCCCCGGCCCGTGTGGAGGAGCTGCTGGGCTTCCAGTGCAGACAGAGAGCCGGAGATCAGCGGAAAGACACGGCGCAGCTTCCGCGGGCAAACAGGCCGAGCAGCGCCACCTGGCGGCCGACACGGAGAGCGCGGCAGCCAGGATTAAAGGGTTAAAAAAAACGGGCCGGATTCTGGGGCCCAAAGTTGGGAAAAACCCAGGGGGCAGAGTCCTGAGTGTCTTATGAACAAAAATCTTTCCCTTCTTTCTTATCTTTGTCCATTAATCTGAAGAACACTTTGATGACGTAAAGAACACTTTAATCATACAACCAGTGAACCTGCTTTGTGTTTCATATGTAATGTTGATGGTAAAATAATGGTAACATAGTGGTTTTCTCTAGGGACTATTTGACCTCACTAACGCCCTGCATGTATCCTTCCACCATTAATGGATTTTAACAATATGTTTTAGGGCAAAATCGTCCAAAAACTATTGTAAACAGTGCCTTAGACATCCAGCAGCATATTCATAACCACTAAGTTTCCATGAGGGAGCTTGGAGGTGGACGTCTGGTTTGCCAATTTAAAGTTAAAAACGTCTGGCCAATCTTGAGTTAAAAACACCACCAAAAGATCTTAGTCAAAAAAAAGATATATGGCTACTGTAACGTTTATTATCTGTCTGTGATTATAGTGTAAATGTCACATTGTTTAGCCTCTATAACCTCCAGTACTGAGGCCATGTATTTTACAGTGACCTCTTGTGGCAGAACTGTGTCATTGACGGTAACACAGTCCACTGATTATTACATGTAAAGAATTAAATGTCTGAATAATTAAATTGTTAATATGTAAGCAGTCATTCAGAGTGGTTTGGTGTGAAAAGCTCCATTCCAGAGACACTGAGTCAGAACTGTTCACAGTGGTGGTGACAGGAACCAGACGTCCACCTCTCAAAGCTCCCTCACAGAAAGATATTACATGAAATGATTATGAATACAGTGCCTGATGATAGTGCGCCCCCCTCATGGTGACCTCTGGTTCCTATCACCACCACTGTAAAGAAATCTGAGTCTCTGCAATCAACCTTTTCACACCAAAACACTCTGAATGACTGTTTACATCTCAAACATCAAATTATGCATCTACTCATGAAATTCCTCTTATAGATAAACACTCAATGACTGCAGAAGAGTCATTCCTTTTTTTTAATTGAACTTCAGTCACATTTCTATCTTGGTAAAAAAATAGGTAAAAAATTCATACTAAACCCTCTGATTCTAAGTGTAGATCATCAGCATAATGTCCTACAAACAGCTACAAACAGCAGGTCCAGCACTTGAGCTTTACAAAGGAAATTGTGCAACATCTTGATTACACAGAAAAACAGTTTCACAATATAACATAGACTCAACTGACTGATCTGCCTGTGGGTTTGAAAAACTCTGTTCAAATACTGGGGCTAAAAGTGAGGAGAACATGTGCAGAACATGTAACAGCTTGTTACATTCTCCATCAGTCTGAAGAACCCTTTCATGATGCAAAGAACCCTTCAAGCATGCAAAGGGTCACTTAAGTGTTCAAGGTTCTATATCAAACCATTTTCATTTCCCTTGAAGAACCATCTTCTTTAAAAGTGTAGAGTACTGCAGTTTGTGGTTTTGGACGCAGCTGCATGTGACAGTTGTGGCACTTCATTGAGTCCTGTAAAACAAAGCCAAAGCAACAAAAAACCTACTGTGGCATCTTCTACTGCTCTAATTGATCTACACAGGCTCCACCCACAAACGCATTCTTTCATAGCAACTGTTGCTTTGTTGGGAAAAAAAAATCCCATTCCAACTAATGGATTCAGGTTAATACACAACACTAAGCTGTGGTGTAAAAACTGGATGAGTCTTCATAGAGATACCAACACCTATGACTGCATACTTCTTTCTTCAAGGGTTCTTTAGTACAGAAAACGGTTTTATATAGAATCAAGAACCCCTTGCATGATTAAACGGTTCTTTGCCGTGTGAAATGTCTAACAGTAGCTACAAATTAATGCATTTGTGGGCGGAGCCTGGAAAGAGGTCTTATTACAGCAAGGTTTACAGACTACAGAACTTATAGTAACTCAGCCCCTCATCCTGATTCAAGCACACAGATGGGGAACACACAGTGCGACATTTTTAGTTTTAGCACTGGAGCTACAAAACTAATGTAGCTAACAAGTACCCCACCAATTAGCATGGTGCTAATTTCATGCTTAAATCATCACACAACCAAAACTGTGTGGAGTTGTTCAGTATCTCGAACAGACTTGATTATGTGATTTCTGACACTGTATGACTCACTGTTATCTATAAACATGCAACATACAATTTTATTGATAACAGTGAGTCATACAGGGTCAGAAGCCACATAATCAAGTCTATTCAAGATACTGAACAATTCATGATACAGTTGTACGCAAAAGTTTAAACACCCCTGGTCAAATGACACGTCTGGTTGATTTTCTAAGTGAAAAAACATTACACATCCTCTACAGAGAACACTCTTAAATATGTCATTTGTTTGCTAATTTAAACACACAATTGCTATTTATTTGCTGAACATAACTTTTACACAGGCCACATTTTACGTTTTATGTTAAATTGAGCAAATAAAGAGTAGTTATGCATTAAGATGTGCAGAAGTGTGTTCTCTGTAGAGGATATGTTCACTTATTTTCAGAAAATCAACAAAAAACATCTAATTTTAGCAGGGGCACCCAAACTTTTGCACAGTACTGTGTACACTTAAACCAGCCACAAACAGAGCTGATGGGCGTTTGGTGTGAAGTCACTGGAAGCGGTTGGAGACGTTCCGCAGTGCTGCCTGAGCTCCGGCCTGCTGCTGCTGTAGCTGGTGGCGAAGCTGCTGAGAATAAGGGTCCTCCAAAGACTTCACAGTGACCACGCTCTTCGGCCCCGTCTTCCACTCCACCCCGCTGTCATCCACCACAGACGCTTCCACGGTAACGCTGTGGCTGCCCAGGATGGAGAAGTTGAGCAGGAACTGGGTGCTGAAATAGTCATTGTGAGGCTCCACCCTCTGCTCGATCTCATTAGTCTTTGTATCAAGAGGAATCTGAGAACAGCAACAGGAGGAAGGGTGGGACAAAGAGAGAGAGGAAACCTCTGTTACAAGAATGTTGTCTGCTTACAAACACAAGGTTTACGTTAAGAAGGTCAATTTGAATTACGATCCGTTGGTCAGTCTTCATCAAAGCTGCAATTAAAGGGCCCATATCATGGGGAATCTAATTTTCTAGAGTTTTTGAAATAAAAGAGCTGGATATGGACCAAATCAGAATGTTCTGTAAGACATTTGTGAGTGCGTGCATAGAACCGTGGTTCATATCAGCCAGTTAGGTAAGCTAACTACAAAGTGAAAACTGCTTCGTGGTATTAGTCATTTGTATCAGTATCCCTATCACAGATACTGATATTGGGTTTAAGTGCCAGTTTCGGCACCAATAACGATACAGTTTGATATCGGTGCCACAGTACTAAAGGTACTGTAATAAAAACAGCCTGTTGTAATTATCATAATAAAAGGGAAAAAGAGAGGTTAGAAAATTACAATTTTAAACAAATTATTACTGTTTATGGTTCATAACATCACTCAAAAGTTTTGACCTCAGTGGGGAAAAAATAAAAATTTCAACCTTCACATTTTGAATGTTGAGCATCAGGTTTAAGCGCAGCTCACATCACTGCTGTGCTCACCTTAAAATCCGGTCCGGATTTAGCCTGAAGTGTCGAGCTCACATTGAGACAGACGGACTGGATCTTCCGGAAGAGTCCCGGGGTGGAGCCATGCTGGACAACGCCCTCCACCTTCAGCGTAAGATGCTGGTTGTTCTGCACTGGGATCGGTTCGCTGGGAGTGCGAGGAGAAGGAGAGAGAGCAAGCTGGACGAGGAAAGGAGAAATAAAATCACTGGACACACTGGAAAGACTCTGACTGATAAACAATGTAAAATGCACTACATATTTAAAAAAAAGACACTATAAAGTAGCACTTAGTATAGGATTACAGTCATAAAAAACATAAGATTTCCAAAATGGTGCCTTAAGAGTACAGGGAACAAATGTATGTTAATAACAATAACAAACTTTTGTTTCATGTAAATTTAGACCTTTTCTGTTAGTCCATTCATCACAAAATGTTGGACAGCTGCCATTTTCAAATGGTGTTTAAAAAAAGGAACACCAGGAAAATAAATAGTAGGTCTAAGGCCAATAAATAGCATAAATATTTAAATCTTGATTTTAAAAGAACCCCTTGACTCAAAAATGTGTTTTTAAAACGTGAGTGTGTTCAATCAATGAGTGCATGTTAAATTGTAAGACGATGTAAAATATGTACTGTCATTTTGGGTAAAATATGCACCACTGTAATTAGTTGACAAGTTTCTCTTTCCATATTTTGAATAATACTATTGGGAATTGGAACAAAATGCTTGTCCCCAGTCGTCGCTTGCCACTAAATCATTGCTGCAAATCACATACTCCCATAGGAAATGACTGGTCGCCTGCCTGCTAGTGTAAATGTCAAAGCCACATAAATAAAACAGCCTGTTTTATTCTAAGGGATGAACTAAGGTTGGAAAAATGGTCATGACTGTTTTTGGTACATAAACTCACAAAATTGTCATACTGTACCTTTCTCAGGAACAAAAATTAAATAAGAAAAACAGCATACAGGCTTACCTTGATGCTGGTTGACTGCAGCTTTTGGAAGAAATACCTCTGGAAGGACAGTGGAACTTTGAGCAGGGCGATGACTGCATCACACAGGCAGCCAGTGTGCTGAAACGAAGGAGAAAACATAAACCACAAAATGAGCAGAAAAGGAAAAGAAAAGATGCAGCTAAGATCAAGATTAGGATCAACAAGAACCATCATTCCAACTATAATAAATCATACAGCAACATGTCCATATGGCCTGTGTTTACTGGACTGCACTGTACAAATCAGCAAGACACAGACTATATATAGTGAAGTGAAGTTTGACCAGACTCTCTCAGCCGGGGTGCCACCTAGCTTCGTCAGGTGTGAAGTCAAAAAAAACATTGTCAACGTTGCTGATGTAATGAAGGAATTAAAATGACAAAAAAACAATAGTAATGCAGCTTATTAGCCACCTCATACATCATCAAAATTTGTCTCACATGCCCCTTTCCCCATCACACAACATCACAACATCAGCGCTGGGGTCAGCATATGACTGCGTAAAGGCTGATGTAAATACCCTACTACAGTGTTTTTTTCTTTTTCATTCCCGAACAATGCATTACGAGAGTGTTAAACAAAGCAAACAAAGTAAAATGGAAAGATTTTGGAAAAGAAAGGCTCCAGAATCAGATAAGTGAATCTGAGCCACCAACTTCATCATCCAGTGGTAGCTCAGCAGCAATGTGTATATGCGGATGCTTCAGTAGACTGTTATAATTAGTGCCTTTTTAGTAAATCTGCCCCTTAATCTTCATTTTCTAGTAGTTTCTCTTATGATGATCATTACCAGGTAAGAGACAGGAGGGTGTTTCCTGCTCAGGGACTCCACTTCCTCCAGAACGAGGTTAAACACACCCATCATCCTGCGCTCATACTTGCTCTCCGCCTGAACTGAACCCAACGTGCCAAAATCCTGGAAACTGAAACACATAAACCAGTCAGAGGCTTCAATGCTGAGACAAGTGGAAAAAGAATCTCCAAGGAACACAGATTTGTTAGGTCTTGGGGTCAGAACGTCCCCCAATTTACAATCAAACACCACCTATATAACCACAGGTTATTTGGAGGGTTGCCAGAAGAAAGCCTCTGCTGTCAAGGACCAACAAACTCAAGTGTCTACAGCTACAGTAAAATAGAGGTTTTTGGTGACATGCAGAAAAGTTCCTCATCCTCACTGTGAATATATATATATATATATATATATATATATATATATATATATATATATATATATATATATATATATATATATATATAAATTTGATATTGATTTACCAGACTTTTATAGCAACTGTTACAACTAGCCCCTCAGTCTGCTACAATAACTCAGTCTATGGTTGTAACCTCAGTTGGCATTTTCAGCCCTTTAGTTAAAATGTTCATGTTCAGGTGCTGAAAATAAAGAAATACATGCTTTCATCTGTAGCAAATATGTGTAGGTTAGTTGTATTAAATACTGCACAGATTGCTCAAAAAAATATTTTGCAAAAGCTAAAATGTGTTTTTGTTTTGGTTTATTTTTGGTTTTACTGTATTCTTCGCTTCTCTATTCAGAGTGGGGCTTTGTTGATGGTAATGATGATCTAGGTTGGATTGAGTTTCCCCACATACGGTCTACCCTGGGAACATTAAGGCAGTTCAGTAAATGAAACCTTCCCCAAATTAAATCTTTCTTTAATGCTGAGTGATGTATATGTTCAGTCTTACCTGGCTGTTTGAGGGTCGAGTATTAAAGCTTCAATCACATAAGAGATCAGCAGGCAGCTCTGTTGTTGCCTGACAAACATGTTAATGAAAACATTAACTGTGTATTAGCCCTGAATAGTTTAATTACAAGCATCTCAAAAAAAGATATTATACACACACACACACACACACACACACACACACACACACACACACAAACACACAAACTACTAGTACTACTACTAGTTAATAATTGATTAATTAGTTAACTACTTAACAGTCAGAAACCCCTCAAGAAATCTGAGCATCAAAAATATTAATGTCATATTACAATCATACTTTTTACAGATACAGATTCTGAGAGGAAGTAACCAATTATGATGAAAGTTTTTTCTCCTCCTACCCGGTGAAACGAGTTTTCATACAAAAAGTGAGCAAAGCCGAGGTTTACACTGCATGGAAGTTGTTGGTAGATAACCCACTAAAATAGCCCCTTCACCAAGGCAAACTGACAGTAGTTATAATTAATTAATGCCTCTTTTAGTAAACTTGCCCCTTAAACTTCATTTTCCAGTAGTTTCTCTTATTTTTTTATATTATGATGACATTCATTTCTCTTTGCCACCAATACTCTCACCCTTAGACTGAGTAGAGGAGGCTGGGTAAGTGTGTATGTGTCTTTACAGACAGGAATCCCATTTTAAATCAAGGCTTTACCCTGAAATGCTCCATTATGAAAGATGAAAACCTGTGGCTGGGCCATTTACTGTCTCTGCTCACAGTCTTTGAAGGATACAGTTCAACATTACGGAGCGTGGCGGAGTCGGCGTCAAAGGACGACTGGTACAGGTCAGCATAGCGGCCAGCAAGACTCCGAAACTCATCCATGGACAATTTCATCTGAGCAAAGAAGACACATTTGATACAATTTCAAATATGCATTATCAACACTTCGGAATCAGCAGTTCCATTAAAATGAAATGTTTAAAATGTTTAAAATGATTCTACAGGCCGGTACAACTTATAACTTAAAATAATTAGTCTGGAAAAAAGCAGAAGAAATGGAAAGATGAACAGAGCTGTAGAAGATTCTAAAATGACTGAAAAAGCTGCTAAACATCCAGAATAAAGTTCTGGTACAATTTTGCTAAGTGAAAGGAAAGCACTATAAATACAAAACTGACAGAACATCCTGCAGGACTAATTAAACAGAAGAAAGGTGAGTGGAGACTCTGACGGTGCGTGCATATGTGGGCCCGCTGGTATGTGTCACCTGCAGTGAGATTCTGCCGCAGCGCTGCAGCTCGTTTCCGGAGGTCAGAGCGATGGTGGTGGCGATGGCCGGAGGTGGGCTGGTCTTCAGGCTGTTGCAGGTACAGATGAGCTGGGCTAAAGCCTGCAGTGTGTCCATCCGCAGCTTTATAAACTCACACTGAAACGCCAGCGGACTCAGAGGGGTGCTGGCAGCCTACGGACAGAACGGGACAGCAGTCAGAAAAAACAGAGGACAGAACAGCACCAATTTAATCCATCTACACTCATATACAATTTACCAAACTGCCAATTCAGAAAAACTGCTAACTCAGAAATAAAAGCTGCTCGTATAATTTGCCTAAATATGTTATAGAGAGAATGCTTTTGAGTTGCCAGAAGTGGACAGATATGGCAAAAACTGTTTTTCATTCCATTTATAAATAAATAAATGTATGTCTACATCCACACAAGAAAGCAAAAACAACTCACAAACTCTTGCATAAACATGCAAGCCCATTAGGGGGCAATAAGACCCCATAAAATCATTCACCAACCGTTCTTAAGAAATTTATTCTTAAACCACTTACGCAGTTTTCACAAAGATTCTGACATTCACTAATTCTTATTTGGGATGTTCTTAGGTAAGAACAGACTCTACACTCAAGGTGTAAACAATTCTGCAGTTTAAGGACACGTCATGAATGTGATGTAGACTTTTTCTTAGGACTAGGGCTCCGTCGATACTGAGACTGGTGAGTGAAGGAGGCTCTGCTGTCAGAGAAGTGGTACTGACTCTGTGGAGGTTGGACACAAAGTCACTGGTCACTTTAAACTATTCACCTTGGCATATACCCACCAGACCTACCATGTGATTTTAGCTCATTTTTAAACACACAATCACAATCACAAATCTCTAAAAGGAGTGGAAACATGAAACGGAGGCAAAAGAGTCAACATTTCTTACCAAAGTCCACATATGCTGACTTTGACTGAATAGAATAGTGAGGTACACACATTAATACGGTGACTTTGTTATATAAAACAGGCTGTAGAGAGAATGTGTTGTCCTACCGTGTAAATCCACACCTGTCTTTAGCTTTAGTGTACAGTGTTAGAAGTGCTGCTTAGTTTTTCTTTGCTTAGTACTTGGCTTGCAGCGTATTATTTTTCATATCTTTCAGCGTATAATTGTTCATGGACTGAGCGTTTTCGTACAGAGCGAGTGTATAAATCATGGGCTTTGTCTGCACACGATGAACTATTCAGACGTACAGTGTGAATCACCAAAGAACAAGATTTCTAAAATCACACGGTGTATGTCTGGCTTTAGAGGACATTTCACTACAGCTCAACCAGCCAATCAAAAGATTTCAACAAGACATAAAACTCAAAACGTGAGCTAATCGGATGCATTAGCCTCAGATGTGATTCCTGCCGTCGCTGTGCTACAGAGTTGTTGAAAGAAACAGATGAGGATTACAAGTATGAAACATACCTTACTTACAGAAGTGAAAAAAATTAGGACAATGTTGGCAAATGAGGCCCAGTGGGAACGCACTGCGCAAGATATAGAGCCCACTGCAAAGCACTAGCAGAGATTTTCTGTTCTTTTATTTTCTATTATTTTAAATTTATTTCGTCATTTTAATCCTTTTAACAAATATCCTCTTTTACAGCAAAAGGACCTTTAGAATGAGTCACATTCATAGGACGGCCCATAATGCTGTTATAGGGTATATTTGTTCAACAGTATTAAAGTAATAAAAAGTAAAAAAAATGGTGTTTAGTCTGGTTCTAATAGCATAATAAAAGCTTACGTGCTTCACATGTTTGTTCATAGAATTATAAGCCTGTGTTAACATTTTATATCTATTTTTAAAACAATGCAAAAATGCACTTTTAATTTTTGTATTCCTATTTATTAACCTGCAGACTAATCAATAATCAGTAAAATTAATAACACGCGTGCGGCATGTAACTTATACAGCTGATCAGCAGTTTGAGACAGCAGTACTGGAGCGACTCTGGAGAGAACACTTGACCCTCTTCACTCCACACCACTCACAAACTCCGCTGGCCAATCAGCATAACTGCACACATGAAAATACAATGAAAAGATCCTGACCGTGAGTGAAGCAAATCCTTTCTGGTAGGACTTCAGTGCCTCAGTGATGGCCCCCATGGCCCCGCTGTAGTCTCCATCCTCCAGCCCGCTCAGGCAGCGCTCAGCCTGAGAGAACTCCATCAGGCTGTTCAGCCAGAAGTAGAAATGCTCGGAGGCCACACGTGTCCTGAGGCTCTGGTACAGCTCACTGGACAGCTCATGGCAGCCCTGCACAGGAGGGAGAGACAGTCAGAGCAAGAAAATGCATCAAATATCACTCATTATCTGATTATCCACAACAGACAGGTTTTTCAATGCACCTTCCATGCTTTTTTTTCTCCTGATACCAGCTCTGAAACCAAGCTAAGCAGATATTTTTCTTTACCATTATATTACATTGACATTTTTTATTCAGTTAAACTCTTTTACAAAAAATAAACAGAAAAATCTAGCTGCAGTGCACAGAAATGTAAACTCTTGACCAAACCTGAAATTCAGGGTGCACCTGGCCAAAAAAACGTTACCAAAACAACCCACTTATTATTTGCCGTTTTTATTTGTGCTTTTAAATGAAAGTAATAATGCTGATGATTCTATAATGGCTTTAATCACCACGTTGGAAAAGAGAACTGAGAGAACTAGAGGACTAATTTAATTTTACTAATTTTAATTTACTAAATATTTAATTGTGTAAAAATATGAAATTATAATACATGTTTTCTCAGAGGCATTTAAAAGCTGAATCCCAGCTTTTGAGACACCTTGCCTTTGAAGCATCATCAGCATTACTATGTTAAAGCATAACTAATGCCAAATTACATATAAAAGAATCCTTTCTTTTAGCTTTTGACCAAGTGTGACCTATTTTTCCAGTTTCAGTAAAGAATTCTAATTTTGGTGCATTACTAACATCCCTCCCAGTGCCCCGCCCACTACGAGTAATACTGTGAATCTGACCATGCGTGAGGCCTGCCGGGCGATGCGGTAAACAGTCCAGCCATTCGCCGAGGCCTCCAGCTGCTGCCGGATCACAGTCTTCACCTCTGCGCCGAGAGAAGACTGACTGGCCACAAACACCACCGTCGCCAAGGAAACCTGCCAAACAGAGATTTCATCACATAGAAGCACTGGGCTGAGTATCGAAACTCAATACTTTCATGGTATTGACTGAATTACTTTAATAAAACGCACAACTAATTAAATTAATAAAACATAATATCACACTCGTTTATGGTTAAAGCCATTTGTAGGCGGGTAGGTTAAAAAAAAATTCCATAAATTAGGAGCCGCTTTCTACGGAGTCCCTAAGGGGCCGTGGTTAGTTTCCCTCACAAATGTTTTGCATTCCCTCGCAAAAAAATAAGCGTTCCCTCGCAAATATTTTGCATTGTGATGCAAATGGTGCACTTGCAAAAGTTGTGGTTTGCTTAAGCTCAGACATGGAGCAGCTCATTGAATTTTATGTTGATCTTGGATTGAAATATAAAGCCGTAGTGTCGCTTCTCAAAATCAAACGTGATGACGCAAACTGAAACTGAGATTGAGTGTCTTCGTACAGTAAAAGCTACATTTACAGAGATTGCAGAGAACAACTGCTGAATAAACTCAGCATACACTGCCGAAACTGGGAAAACCGTTTTTAACATTAGCTATGCTAAAACAAAGCTCTAATGTAGGCAATGTCATTGGGCACCTCTGGTCCTATGTTTGCTTGCTGTCTGACAAGCATATATTTTGTGAAGGAATGCAAAAACATTTGCGAGGGAGCGCAATGTCAACTTTTTTTTTTTATTATTATTTTAGCCATGGCCCCTTAGGGGCTCCGTAGCTTTCCTGCAACACCAGCACATTTTCGGTGTGTGAAGAAAAACAAATCCATAAATACAGACTGCAGGATGCCCCTTACACTGACAGACACCCCTTACGCTTGGTATGGTTCAGTAGTTCTTGGTATGGTTTGGTCATTTTTCTGGTATGATTTGCTGTAGGCCTGTTAGTTTTCGCTATAAATTGGTAGTTCTTGGTATCTTTTGGCAGTTTCTAGTGTGGTCTGCTTGCTCTTTGTATAATTCGGTTGGTTTTTGGTATGGTTTTGTTGTTCTTGGTAGGGTTTGGCAATTTTGGTCTGGTCTGGTATGGTTTACTTACTGAACTTTAGTAGTTTTTGGTATAGTTTGACAGATTTTGGTATGGTTTGGCAGTTTTTGGTATGGTTTGGTAGTTACTGCTGTAGGTTTAGATGTTTCTTGTATGGTTTAGTAAGTTTTAGCATGCTTTCGTTGTTATTGGTTAGTTTTTCGTATGATTTGGCAGTTCTTGGCATCACTGGTATGTCTTAACATAGCTTGGTAGTTTTGGTAACTGTTGATATGATTTGGTAGTTTTTTGCAGTAGGTTTGGTAGTTTTTCCTCCTTTTCCTTAATTAGCGCAAAGCTAACTGCCTCAAAATGTGTGGAGATGCTCAGTATATCTAATAGACTTGATTATGTGGTTTCTGACACTGTATGACTCACTGTTATCTATAAACATGGTCATACAGACAGTGACAGCACCACCTATCCCTTTAGGTTTTTTTTTTATTATTATTATTTTGTAAGCCTGACCAGTAGCTCCTGCTGCTTTTCTGAGCTTGTATTGCCGGCACTCCTGTACAGCTCCACCAGATCTCCCAGCATGCTCTCTCCCAGGACAGGCAGTTGTGTGGCAATGGCTGCCAAAGCGTGACAGATCAGGATCCGCGCAGCATCGCACGCGTAGTGCAGCTGAGCCAACAAAAACTCCACACACGATTGGCTGAGGTGGGGACGACCCTTCAGCATCCGCACCAGAGACGCCAGAGCTGTCTGAGAATGTGAGAGAGAGAGAGAGAGAGAGAGAGAGCGAGAGCGAGAGCGAGAGAGAGAGAGAGAGAGAGACAGATTTATTGAAGTTATAAATAAATAAGTAAAACAATAAATAAATAAATCAATAAGGACTGTCAAACAATTATATTCAACAATATATAACCATTATAAATAAATTATAAATAAAATAAACAGCAATTGAGCATACAAATGTTTACATCATATACACAGTCAATGGTATAACTTGTCCGTGATTGTAGCCCCTCATTCATACAGCTTGTGAGTTTATGTTGTAGTAGAGGATCTTGAGGAGAGCTGGAGCTCCACCAAGCTTGCTGCCTCATTCAAAGACAAAGGACCCGGTTTTGTATGACTGAACATAACTGCCCAGCAATTATCAGCCAAATGGCCACTGAGTGGACAGAGTTTCCTATAAGGACTTGTGGCTGTACTCACTTTGAGTGTGGCCTGTGCAGAAGTGCTAGCATCCTGACTGCACAACAGTAGTAATGACTCCATCCCCATCACTGTGTCCTGCTCCAGCTGAACAAAATCTGAAGAAAATGTAAGGACATACATGGGATCATACATGTACGTCTTTGCTATGGCACATTTTCTGTTTCTTACCCCCCCCAATACATTCAATTCAGCAAATAAATTGTGCACTATAATCTGCAGAAAATGCCATTTTAAGTTTGTTTTGTATGTATATGTAAGTGTACATAAACACACACACACACACACACACACACACACCCCAGATACAAGTGCACTGGACACAGTACTGCTGGAGTTTTTAAATACTGTGACCACTCACTGTCCACTCTATTAGACACTCCTACCTTGTTGGTCCCCCTTGTAGATGTAAAGTCAGAGACGATAGCTCATCTGTTACTGCACAGTTTGAGTTGGTAGTCCTTCATCAGTGGTCACAGGATACTGTTGGCTGGATGTTTTGGGTTCTCAGTCCAGCAGTGACACTGAGGTGTTTAAAAACTCCAGCAGCACTGCTGTGTCTGATCCACTCGCACCAGCACAACACACACCAACACGCCACCACCATGTCAGTGTCACTGCAGTGCTGAGAATGATCCACCACCCAAATAATACCTGCTCTGAGGGTGTCCTGTGGAGATCATGACCACTGAAGAACAGGGTAACAAAGTATGCAGAGAAACAGATGGACTACAGTCTGTAACTGTAGAACTCCAAAGTGCTCCTATGTGGTCAGTGGAGCTGATCAAATGGACAATGATAGATGCATGGAGGAGTGCTTAATGCAATGGCCAGTCAGTGTATATAATAATGTCCCATATGTATTTTATATAGTCCTTTGCAAAAGTCTCAGACACTAAGCAAACTGGTTAAATCATTTATCTCAGCAATGTTTTCTACTTGTAAAAACACCATATATCATTAGAATAAATGCAAATAAATATTAAGACAGCAGAAAACAATACAAATTTCCTTTAAAAGTAGTTGATATCCTGTGAGAAAGGCTGATAAAGTTTGGTTCCAGATTTCACCTTAATCCCACAACCATCAATAAACCAGGTACTGGAGGCTACCTACAGTTAATACCAGGTTTAGAAATGGTTAAACAAACACATACATTACATAACTACTTACTATAATAGTGTTATGTGAATTTATTCTATGATTATTGTGTTGCCGAGTAAATAATCATGCAGGTACCCAGGACCACTTCCTCTGTTCTAATCATACCTGCAATGTGAACAGATTTGAATGTGCTGAAGAGCAGTGGGTGGGAAGGTAAAACTACCTTTTTCTGGACAGGAGATGGCGATGTTGGCCAGCACTGTGATCCCATGGGCTGCCACTGCCAAATTGCTATGGTAACAGCACTCCTGCGCCAGCTTAACCAGGTCAGTGAGGTGAGGAGCCGGTGAGGATTCACCTTGAAGAGAAGAGAGCTAATTAACCATAACAGATATCTGAGTTTAAGAAGTGCAATAACTGATACTCACAACCGCCAATGAAGCAGTGTTTAACTAAAAGTATTTGAGTATAAAATTGAAATATATAAACAAAATTATAATGGCTGATATTATTGATTACCAAAATTTTAAGGCCCTGGAAATTGGGGGCAGTATGGCCACAAAATTTTCATTTCAGCTGAGGCTCAAGATCGCTGTACAGTTTTTAAAATAAAACGTAAAGCTTTTTAACATGTTTTTAAGACCTAAACATAGCAAAAATAATACCATTTCCACTACACAACAGCATATACAAACTCAGAAAAAAATGGCATGCATTAATATCTATTCAAAGTGACTTGATGAAAAGGCATTCGGGCAGCCTTTTCAAAATAATGGTTACTTTAATATTCTGCAATAAAATCTTTGATACGTGCATATCGCTACTCTGATCTTATATTTCTACTGTTTTTGTGGACTATATATGTGAAATAACCATTTTATTTGAGTGAATACACTATAATTTCACATTGCCTCAACGTGAATGCAGCACCTGCTCCGTTCTCTCAGTTTTAAATGCACTTTTTTGCTAGTAGTCTGAAACCAGACGTGGCACGCCACATCCGTTAAAGCAGAACATTTCTGATGCAACCATTTTTTTTTTAAAACTGGTTGCAACTCGCAAGTGGCAAAACATGCCTGTGTGTTGACCTCCACCTCACCTGACTATGAATACTGGAAGCCACTAATAAAACTACTCTGCACACGAATCTACCAAGAGCGCATCGAGATGCAGCTAAGAAACAATGTTTTTCTCCTAATCTTTGTCTGCAGTGTCTCTACACTGTAATATACACAAAAACAACTTACATTATACAGTTAAGTTCGCTCTTACCTGCAGCTGGGCTGAAGTACTGTTTGATGGCGATGGTTCCAGAAAGAGTGGACAGCACTGAGACCATGCCAAGTTTCAGACTGTTATAGGGGGTGCTGAGGGCACACTCACACAACGTCTGCAACACACAAGGCAAGGCAAAGCAAGTGTATTTATGTAGCGCTTTTCATACACTTATGTAGGAGAATAGAAATTAGAAACATGCCTAAAACATGAGATTTAAAAGTGAAGAAATTGAAAAATCATATTAAAAATTGTATCAAAAATTCAAAATCACAAATTACACACACAAACACACACACAAGTCAAACACAGCCCAGCTCATGAAATTAATGCTCCTGATATTATAACCTTAATTTTTTACTATAATTGTTATTTATGCTAGTTTCTCCAATCTAATGATGCGCACAAAAGCAAAAACTATAAGAACACAATAAAACTGTCTGCATTATTTTTATTGGTTCTTTTTTATTTTAATACTAAGATGAAGTCCTGATCTCTTATACACACACACACACACACACACACACACACAGACACACAGACACACACAGACATATCATCTAAACCACTCATCCAAACACACGTCACCAGTCCATTGCAGGGCAGACAGACAGACAGACAGACAGACAGACATATACATCCACACACACAATCACACACACTCACACCAGGAGGCAATTTTGCGTGTCCAATCACCCTGACTGCAAGTCTTTGGACTGTGAGAGAAAACCCACACAGACAAGGGGAGAACATGCAAACTCCACACAGAAAGGACCCTGGGTGCCCGGCGGGGAATCGAACCCAGGCTGTGAGGCGACAGCGCTAAGTCCTGATCACATTTAAGTCAAATCTACAGCACCTTTAACTAAAATCAATTAGCTTCAACTTTGGCTAGTAAAAACAACTATTACTCCAAGCGCAAAGCTACTGCTCAACATTTTAATTCAAATAAAATGCTTTTTAACATATTTTTAAGACCTTTATTTTTATTACATATTTTAAGAGATCATTTTCCACCTCACAAAATCAAACACTGACAGGTGCTTTGAGATACAGTATAGAAATATGTCGTAGCTCTGCAGCTCTCTTACCAAGCTCCCTATCTAGCTCTTCTAACTGCTCTCTCTTTTCCTTTTATCTGCCCCTCATTAATTACACTATTAAGTTGATATTTTTGGTCGAGAGACTATTCTAAAGTAGTTTCACATATACGATTACTCTGTAGGCAACAGTCTTAAATTTAATACTGATCACAGTGAAAAGGGCCCTTATCCCACACTTTTCTTGAATTCATTTTTAATATATTTTTAATACAACTGGATTGACTACAAATAAAACTGGATATATAATAGTTGTTAGTATATATATATATATATATATATATATATATATATGTATATATATATATATATATCTTTTTTTTAAAGAGGCCACATTTGCATGGTTTTATCTAACAAAAGCAGTCATAAGTATTGTTTTTATGAATCTTGGTTTATCCCTAAGAATCAAACAGGCTTTCTGTTACTGCGCTTTTATTTCTGATATTGAGATTTGATTCCAAGTGATTTTGGTGGATTTTTCTTTTCAAATTTTCACACAGCATTAAGTACCAGTGCTGTGTTCAAATGATGTAGAAAAATAAAAATTTACAAAAATTGAGATGTTAGTTTTTCTTTGGACAGTGACAATATCTTTGATATATATATAAATATTTCCATATGTGGACTCTGTGGACTGGAAAGTAACTGGAATACTTTGAAATTTGAAACACTTTTTAATTATTACATCAAACTCTTATTTTAATTTGTTTTTTCATGATATGGGCCATTAAATATCTCAGAGAAACCTGAAGTAGATATCTAGCAGTTCTCAGATGTTATGCTAATCCGTTTTATTCTGTTTTAATCCCCATGTGTTGAGTGTTTTACCTGAATGTTCTTTTTGGTCCACATGTGAGGAGCTTTCTTGGCCAGCAGTTTCAGGTCCTGCACAGCGAGTCTTTTTACTGCTTTTCTGGGGTCGTCCTTCAGATACTGCAGGAGCAACTGAATCTGCACAAAGACAACAAACACTGCCTAAATATAAGTAAACAACCAACGCTGATTGGCTCAAGAAAAATGCAAGAAAAAAACAGCAGAAAAAACAGCAGAAATTCACAGTCTTAAATACACATACATATTGTTTAATGTTGTCTACAAGTTTTTTGTGTATTATAACATGGTATTCTCATGTCAAAAGATGAGGCTTATCACCCAATATTGCTGAGAGATTGTGTGCTCCAACATCAGCAATGTCGCAACTAAAAAAAGCAGATACAGGCATTTGCAAACGTTTGGGCACCTCGGCTAAATTACATGCTTTGCTAATTTTCTATGTGAAAATAAGATCAACACACTTCTGCACATTTTAATGCAACATCGATGTTATTGTTTATTTTTGTTTCTCTATGTCCTGCTTCTTAGGAGAAGACCTCATATATTCATGAAATATATATTATAAATAACAACGTACTATAGGTCCTCCATAAAGGAGGGGATGGAGGGCTTTTAAAAAAAACACCATATGTGCAATATGCGTAATATTTTTGCCAATCTGATTAAATTGCTGATGTAATCAGCAAACTATTATATCGATCCAACTCTATTAGAAAAATGTCAAAAGAAGGCAAGATGTCTCTAAATGTTTCATACACGGTGCATGTTGAGTATTTGTAATCAGACCTGTTTTGGGATTTCAATAAGTGATGAAGTGGCCAGTTGGGTAAACGTGTGCAGAGTAACGATGACCATAGGGGTGGACGGGTAGGAGGACACCAGCTCCTGCAGTAGTTCCCGGCTCCTGGAGGCCAGAGCGGCATCATGGTGCATGTACTGCAGCATGGGGATCAGCTTCAGCTTCAGATCCACCGGCGTATCCAAACCTGAAGGGAAAAGACAAAACAAACACAAACACATAAAAAGCACAGAGTGACTAAGAATCCGGCTAAATCTTTAACACAGGCAATAAATAAAAGAAAAAACATTTTTGCTGAATTTACACAGACTCACAGAATCAGAGATTCATTTACCTTGAATCATCTCACTGATCTTGTTGCAAATTCCTGCTGCGAAGTCTCTGAAAGCGAGGAGGCCAAAAAAACCACAAATAATTATGCCACAGTTTAATCAAATCTGCTCGCTTTCCAAATCCTAAGAAGTTTACATAAAAGCATTATGTAATAATGAGAACCACAGCTTAAAATGGGATAATAATTAAATAAACCCAATGCAAAAGCTCTTCTCTGTTAATCACATGATTTCTCAGTGCTGCTGCTACATTTATTCGATATGTAAAGAATCTAAACACTCACAGATAAATATGCATACAAATACCATACGTAGCTGAAAATATCTTTTGCACCATGAATAAAAAAAAAACACATTTCAATGCTCACTGAAGTTTAAAGGCCCTTACTTTGACTGGGATGAAAAACTGGCAGCGGCGAAAATAGCTGCTTCCACCTCAACGTTGTCGTGCGAGTCCAGGCTCTGGCGGATGCTGTGATGAGCATTTTTCCTCTCAGGGATGATGGACGCGAGGCTGCCCAGCATTCTGTCAATGAACATTTATAAACACCATAAATACAGCCACAACATCACCATTAAATTTAATGCAACCTTAGAAGTTACGGTTAAAGTATCAGCTCTAACTAAAGCTGATATTTTATATGAATTATTTCGCATGAGGAGCTCATTGAAACAAGATACTGAATATTTTATAACCATAAAAATTTTATATATTATATATTGCAACATTGGCCTTCACATTAATGATACTGCACAAGTCTGCAATATTGCAAATGAGCCTCTAGCCAATTACTAATTTTTTTGTGTGTGCTCTGAGCAACCACAGATGTTCTACAAACATACATCCTTTTGGTCAGACCACATCACATCAAGCATTTATTAACATGTTTTTAAATATGTAAGACACAAGGCAATAACACTAATCCTGTCTAAATAGAGCTTTTAAGGCACAGTTACAAAAACAGGCTGCTTAATTGTAAGACATTAGGAGAGGTAATAAAATGGTCGCGTAAAAATTATGACTATTACTGGTGTATAAAACCACACAAACATTATAAGTGGACCTCAAGAGAAACAATAAAATACAAGAAAATGTAAGATACAGGCCCTTTAAATGATATCTAACTACAAATCTGTAAAAGACTCTGTACCTGAGAGTGATGGCTCTGGCGACAGGATCATTGCTATGGATGACAGAAAAAACCCTTTTAACAAACTCATCCACATTCAGAATCTTCTCCAGGTGCTTTTCGCTCTGTTGTGTCACTTTCAGCACGCACAGCCGCAAGAAGTTATTCCTGAAGTAATAAAATAAAATCTGGGTTAAGATTTACGGTCACACACATCATCGTTATACATCACGTAACCAGTGTTAAATAACTGTACAGGACTTTATTGAAGCTGCAGAGCAACTTGTTGAGATTCAAAAAGATATATATTAAATGTATGGATTAAAATGTATAAAAACATAACAGCCTTTAGAAATTCATCCAGCCTGAACATAGAAAAATGACACCCTGTTGACGAGCACATACCCCAGTCTGAAAATGTCAGCTAGTTTCAGGAAGGCTGAGTTGATGAGGATGGGGAAAGGATATTTCTGGAAGAGTTTGGGGAAAAGTACCACGGCTTCACACTGTTCCCCCAGCTTACAGGATCTCAGTCCTTTAGTTAGTGACAAGAAATGAGTAAAAGAAAATAAAAAGAAATCAGAACTATCAAGCAATTCAGCAGAGACAACAACAGAGTCATGTTCTTTAACAAAGAATATTTATAAAGTCTATTACTATAAATATTATCATATAAAGTACATTTTTTAATACAGCAGATTTCTAACTCAGACATTAGACTTACTTTTCTGTATTTAAGTCATTTTATAAACCATGCAAAGATTTCATATAATATTTTTATACCATATAAAAGTGCATTTCTGCACCATAATAAAGCAGGTCTCTATTTCAACATCAGCTAAGGTCAGCTTTGAGCACTACACACTTGATGGCTCTACACAGATGCTTCTTCAAGCGTCCTTTAGTAAAGGCAATGGTTCTATTTAGAACCATGAGTTCTACATAAAACCATTTCATGTTTAAATGGTTCTTTGTGTATGAAGAAATGGTCCTTTACATTGATAGTAAAAGTGTTGTATGTGTATCCATAAAGAACCTTTTTCAAAATGGTTCTATATGACACCTAAGAGTTCTGCTATGCACACTTTAAAATGATGCTAAGGATTCTTTGGTAATGAAAATGGCTCTATATAGAACCATGGACACTTAAAGAACCCTTTGCATGCTTAAATGGCTCCTTGCATTGTGAAGGATTTCTTCAGATTGATGGAGAATGTGCTGTAGATGCTTCTTTATATAATTATTTTTGAAAAAGGGGCTCTATAGCATTAAAAAGGTGTTTTAAGGGTTTATTACAGTACCATCTACAGCACATTCTGAAGAGCCCTTTGACGATGCAAAGAACTTTAATCATGCAAAGGGTTCTGTGAGTGCTCATGGTTCTGTATAGAATCATTTTCTTTACTAAAGAACCCTTGAAGAACTTGTAGCTTGTAGCAACGGAAGAACCCTTTTTGTTGTTATATAAACCCATATACATCACATTCTCCATCAGTCTGAAGAAACGTTTCACCATTCAAAGAACGCATGTAAATGGCTCTACGTAGAACTAATGGTTCTAAACCATTTCCTTTACTAAAGAACCCTTGAAGAGCCATCTTTTAAGAGTGCACAATAAAGTGAACTTATCTTCATAATCGAGCGATTCTGAAAGTATCTTATCAAGGATTTTTATCAGCTACACACTCAGCTAGCGGAGCAGGACACTGTCCGCTCTCATAACTCAGTACTGTAAATATGTAGCATTAGCCATGCTAGCCGGTTATGCTAAAGCTAAAGCTAAGGCCAGCTGTGTTCACCTTTGTCCAGCTCCATCAGAGCTGAATTAGCGTCCAGCTCCTGCTCTCCATATCCAGCCTCTGATAAGAAGGAACGCGCGGTGGAAAGAGACATTTTAATCAGGACTTAATGAGTTTTAACACTGTTAAATAGTGATGGCTAATCTACACATTCATTCTTATTCCCCTCCTCTCAACATTACAGCGGACTGCTGCCCCCTGCAGGCCGGAGTTTCGGCTAGCTGAAAAAAGTGCTTTTACAGCCCAAAAATATAAAATAAAAATTGCCTATGATTTCTTTTTTTAACTCTTGCTCTGTTTCTGCCAGCAGCATTACAAAATGTTGACTTACTATTTCGACATAATGACTTATTTTCTCTTAAAATAATGAGTTACTTATTAAAATTGTTATTTTTTGTGTTATTGTTATTATTATTATTATTATCATTATTATAAATAATGCGTGTTAATAAATGCGTGTTAGTATAATCTCTGGCTGAATCTCAAATGACTCCTTGCTCCCTACATAGTGCACTAAGTAGTAGGTCGTGAAACAATGGCTCCTGCGTCCAAACAAATATAAGTGCATGTCTAACAACGAGCCGTTTAGGACTCAGCCACGCGTCTTCACATCTCTACTGGACTTAAAGTGCACTGTTTGGGTGAAGAAGTAGACGCCGCACATAGTGCACTATATAGGGAGCATCCGGTTTGAGATACAGCCTCCGCTCATCCGCCTTGTTCCTCTACCCGCCATCTCACAGCGTTGGTTCAGAGTGGGCGTGTCCATCCACTCCGTCCACCAATGAGAAACCGCAACATAACCCAACAGTGTCCTTCGACCAATGAGAAGCCGTGACGTAAATTCGGCGGGTATTTTCGTGTTTCTGTCTTTGTGCTCAGTTCGCGGGAAGAGCTTAGGGGCGATTTGTGTTGTTTTTAATTTAGAATTAAAAAGCGGGTTTAAGCTGCGAGGATCATCGGATCACAATGTTGTTTCAGTGTGTGGTTGATCGGGGAGTCACTAAAAGACGGAACGGTGAGTGGATTTATGTAATTTTGGACGGATTTATGTTGTTATTCAGCTTTTACTTTCTACTAAAGCCAGCAGCTCACAGTCACTCAGTCTGGACTCACATAGCTAACTAACCTAGCTAAAATACAGTTAGCTAATATATTAATGTACCTACGTTCGTTTTGTGGCACATACGCTTATAGAAAAGCTCTAGTAATGCTACAGGGATAAAGAACCCTTGAGGAACCGTCTCTTTTTTATATATATATATATATATATATATATATATATATATATATATATATATATATATATAGAGTGAATGCTGGCTCTGTGAGGCTGCATATGAGCTGTTAAAGGGCCCATATCATGGAAAATGTTCCTTGCATTTTTGAAATGAGTTTAATAAAGTGTGTAACATTTTTATTTCAAATAAATTTAGAAGTCCATATATGGAAACTAAACTGCAAAATCAGCCTCTCTTGAATTTGTTCTTTTTGTGGTCACAAAACCATTACGTTCACATGTGTTAGCCTATGTAGGCTGTGGCAGTTTAGCCCCTCCCCTCCAAGCTAAAGTTATAAAGAGTGTTTCAGCCTGGACTGCTTTTTGAGCAATGCACAATCCAGTGCAGCCAATCATAGCAGAGCTCTTTTACACATATCCTTATATCCTGAAAGGCTCAGAATAAAAGCAGCCTGATCTTAAGGGGCAAAGACAGGTTGGAAAAAGAATTATGTAGGATATGTGGACAGTTTAGACTGACCACAGCTCAGTAGTAGTATGGGAGAGATGGCCAGAGCCCTCAGAGAATATACTCCGCAGATGTTTCATTAACCATACTGTTACATGGTTTCTGTTGTCGTCACACTTTCGCTGTCTTAAAGGGAAATTCCACCAAATTGTTTAAAAATTCTCCATAATTAAATTGTTGAGATGTAAACAGAGTCAGTCAGTTGAGGCTGTGTTATCTTGTGAAACTGCGTTCCTCTGTAATTCAGATGTTGCACAGTTTCCTTTGTAAAGCTGAAGTGCTGTGGAGAGGACTGGACTGGCTGTTTGTAGCTGTAAACATGATTTAGAGTTTGTAAACAGACAAGAAGTGTTCAGTGGACATTATGCTGATGATCCACACTTAGAATCAAGGAATGAATCAGTTCTGCAGTCATTGAGAGTTTATCTATTACAAGACATTTCACAATAAGATACATGTGAAGATATCATGGTCGTTAAAGGGGAATTCCACCCAATTTTAAACACTTTTGCATAATTTAATGGTTGAGAATTAGACAGTCATTCAGAGTGGTTTGGTGTGAAATGGTTTATTGAAGAGACTCAGATTTCTTTACAGTGGTGGTGATAGGAACCAGGGGTCACCATGACTACAACACAGATACCGACATTTTATTTAAAGGTTACCAGTGCACCTACGTGTGTCTTCTGAGTTTTATATGGAATGTTGGTAAAATAGTGATAAATCTGAAAAATATGTTTTTTGAGGACTGTTTTGCCTGTTCAACCTGCACCCCACACCCAGAGTTCTCTATTTAGTTTGACAGGTTTAGTTATGTAATATTTATCTTTATGCGATCTGAATTCTTTCTTGTCTAACCCTTTTATGTCCCTTTAATCCAGTTAACAGGCGAGAATATCCACTGTCATCTCTATTGGAGTGTTACCAGTGCGCCCGTCATGATGAGCACATCTCGTACGGAAACACAGCGGTTGCCGTGCCTCCATTTGGATGCAGCTTCTCCACAGGTAAGACGTTTTTTGAATGAATGCAGGAACACTGAGAACAGCGAATTTTCTGAGTAAATATCTGAGTGCTGAAGCTGAAGTCTGTGCTCTGTAGCTTCTGGACAGAGCAACACTCTGGCTGTTGCGAATGAGGAGGGGATCGTATGCATCTACAACACTGCTGAGAAACAGCGCGCAGTGCTGAAGGGTGAGTATTAGTAATGTTAAAGATGGTTCCGCAAGGTTTCTTTAGTAGAGAGAATAGATCCATACAGAACAATGAACACTCAGGTTCTTCAGATTGACGGAGATGGTTTTATATACACTCTTTAAAAAGATGGTTCTTCAAGGGTTCTTTAGTATAGAAAATGGTTCTATTTAGCACCATGAACTTAAAGAACCCCTTGCATGATTAAAGGGTTCTTTGCTTGGTGAAGTATGTCTTCAGATTGATGAAGAATGTTTTTTTGAAAACAGGTCCTTCTGTTGTGACGATGTCAAGCTTGTAACAATAGAAGAGCTCTTTTTGGTGCTATATAGAACCATTTTCAAAAAGTTCTATATAGAACCATATACAACACATTCTGCATCAATCTGAAGAACCATGCAAAAGGTTCTTTGAGTATTCATGGTTCTATATAGAACCATTTCTTTGCTGAAGAACCAACTTTGTTTAAGTTTAGAGCCTTTTTGGAAAGGGTTCTGTATAGCACCAAAAAGTGTTCCTGCTACTTTTATTGATATCGTAACAATGGAAAAACACTCTTTGGTGCTTGAAAGAGCCCTTTTCATATATGTTCTATATAAAGTCATCTACAGCACATCATCCATCAATCTGATGAACCATTTCACTACGCAAAGAACCCTTTAATCATGCAAAAGGTTCTTTTAAGTGTTCATGGTTCTACAGTTTCTTTACTAAAGAAAGATCTTTTTTTAAGAGTGGTTGTGTGTTTTTGTTTGTTTAAACATTTGAAGGGCGACATGATCACGTTTCTGTTTTTGTCTCTGATTCACAGAATGGCCTGCGCATGATAACGCAGTGTTTGACATCGCCTGGGTTCCTGGAGCGAACAGCTTGGTGAGTTCACCGTCTGCGTTTGATCCTGAAAGTATTTTAGGATTAAAATGATTTTGGTTCAAATGTTCTTTAGTAAAGAAAATAGTTCTATATAGAATAAGAAACACTCAAAGAGCCCTGTCCATGATTAAAAGGGTTCTTTACGTTGTGAAAGTGTTCTTCAGATTGATGGGAAATGTGCTGTAGATTGTTCTAATGTAGAACCTTTTTGAATGGTTTCTTTCATGGTTTCTGACACTGTGACATGCTATAAATAATATCTGTAAACATGAATACAGGTATGTTTTTCGTTCATACGGTGGTCCATTTTTGTAGACAACGGTACGTTAGTCACCAAACTATTGCTTTAACCATATTTCCCATAAATGTCTATATTAATAGGGTTTTATTTGTTCTGAAGGTGACCGCATCTGGAGATCAGACGGCGCGTCTGTGGGACGTGCCCACAGAGGAGCTGCTGGGCAGCTTTAAGGGTCATCAGTGCAGCCTGAAGTCTGTGTCCTTCCCCAAGCAGGAGAAAGGTAAAGACAACGGTGACACTGATGGTTTCGGGCATTGAAGTCATTTCAAAATGTAAACTGAACTGACAGAAGGCAGATTATCTGGTTCATCACGGCTTTAGGATGGTACAACAATATTGATATCTTTATGAAGCAAATGACATGCTTGGTAGAAATGCCACCTTGAGCGATTTCATATTAATTCTCTGATCAAAAGCATGTCCGTCTGTGTGTCCTGGGTGAGCTCGCTTTAATCAGCAGTTATTTATGGACTTTCAGAATATTTGTGTGTGCATGTCTTTTGTCATGTTAATTTCATGTTTTGTTCTCGGCAGCTGTTTTCTGCACTGGAGGCAGGGACGGGAACATCATGGTGTGGGATATGAGGTGTAGTAAGAAAGGTAAGAGTGCACATCAGCATACAACACCTTCAGCAGTCAGACTGGGAAGGTAAATAAATAAATGTAAATGAAATGAATTGCAAGCTTATAAATAAATGTGAAAATACAGTTCTGTGCAAAAGTGTTAGGCAGTCAAGAAAACTTAAACTATTAATCTGAGCAGTAAGTGTTTTTTTGCCAGTAATACTGCTTTATATTATTATAATAAATGCATAAAAACAAATACAGTAAAATGTAGAATGATTTTATTTACATTTTTATTTATTTATAAATAAATCTGTACGTTAGAAGAATGCAGGTTCAGTTTCTACATTTCTCACCTCACTCCAGCCATTGCATCAATTTTTTCAGTTCCATCAGCAGCACCTGATTTAATTTTAAGAAAGGATTGATTAGATAAACTAGGTGGTAGATGGTGACTGTGGATACTGGGCAAATAGTAAAGGTTTACTGCCTGGATAAGTAGCTTTAACAGGCTAAGACGCCTGTACAATTCCTATAATTCCTTCACAATAACTGCTGGAGAGATTAGATTAAAATAGTAATTGTTTATTGTTTGTATAGATGGCTTCTACAGGCAGGTGAAGCAGATAAGTGGAGCTCATATGAAGACGGAGGGAAACACTCCCCAGACCAAGAAGAAACGTGCTTCATCCAGAGGAATGGCTCCTTCTGTGGTGAGTACAGCTCCTAGACACCGAGATGAACATCAGGGCCCAAATTCATGAAGCTTCTCAGCATAGAAGTGCTGATCTAGGATCTGTTAATCATGACACCGGTCTAAATCTCCAGCCTTCTCTGGACTTGCAGCCGTGTGGACTTAACATGCACATCACTGAGGAAGTCCACAGAGCTTCAATACAGACATCCTGTGAATTTCCTGAAAGGCCACTTAGGATGCAGACTACAGCAAAGTGTGCTTGTGAAGTTCATAGTGAAACGTGATGGCATAAACAAAACTGAAGGAGTTCCAAAAATAGTAAATAAAAATGAAACACTAGACAAACAAAAGTAAAATTTCATCTACTAGAACACACAATTTATGTTCAAACATGCAGATTTCGGTGTCAGTATCAACCAAGAAAGTAGTTGGAGCTGAAGCTCTCTCTCTCTCTCATTTAGTGGTTTTTATTCACAGCCCCAAATGCCACAAATAAGTGCTGATAACATGACGTACAAACAGTGCAAGCTGCATAAACGTTATGCAGTTTGACCGAGTCACGTTTAGAGCATGTTTTAAATGAAAATAAAAAACGCAGCAGACCCTCGGTCACCTCCTGCTGTCTAGTCTGCTCCATTCATTATCGAGGCAGCGTTTTGAGGTAGCCTTAGCATGGAACAGAACCACCTGAGCGATAGCTGCACTTCTTTTTCCTCTCTTACTGCCTGAGAAGCCATCTGATTCATTTTGCTCCATCAGACGAAGCTGCGGTTGGAGCCTAGCAGCTGTTACTTGATAGTGTGCATGACTGCAATATTTTCCAGATTCCAGCACAGGACAGACTTATGCAACAAATGACTTGAGAAATTTCGACAAAGTTAAAGTTGGCTTCTTATTTGAATTTCCCGTTCCACGTTAAATGATGCAGCACTTGCATTCAGGGGTCTATATAAGTGCCAGAATGTAACTGCTGCTCTATTTAAGGTCAAAAGAATGTTTACAAAAGCTGGTGGATAAGAAGCCGACTTCTCCAAACGGAAAACGACTTTCAGCACCACTTTCGCTGGAGTTGCAGAGAAAGCAGTATTGTTTAATTTCAAATGGAAAAAGAACTTATATATATTTTTTTTCTTTGTTAATAAAAATTTATTATACCATCATTTTTGACATATAGCCCAAAACTGCTAGGAGGTGAAGTCTTACCTTGATCCTTAGATCTGGATTGTGCATCACTAATGTGCATGAATGTATGTGTAATATATTAAACAAACTGAGTTAGTAGGAAAGTACCTACCTTCAATGACTGAATAAACTTGCAGAAGAATTATTGGCTTCAGTGTGCTGTCAGTGGGATAAACATTTATGAGGATGATGTTTGTCCCTGCTTGCCTCGTAGGACTCTCAGAGAGGTGTGACGGTGGTTCTTTTCCGTGATGAAAACACGCTCATCTCCTCAGGAGCTGTAGACGGGTATGTAATTTTTATGCATTCTATATGGATTCAAAGGGACAACATCTCCTTCTGTCTTTTCTTACTTTCACTGACCACAGTACTAATGTCACCTTTTCACTAAAGGAGGTTGTGAACGTAAGAACCTGCGTGTGTTCCTCTACTAACAGTCTGTTGTCTCTGCAGGATGATTAAGATGTGGGATTTGCGTAAGAACTACACGGCGTACCACCAGAACCCCACTCCTCTGCAGATGTACAAATATCCCGGCTCCAGTACACGCAAACTAGGTACGACAGTCGCACAGAACCACACAAAACGCATAACAGAACCACTCATAACTTAAATCTTTAATGATTTGGGTCGTATGGCCTAGAAGTCAGCACAGTATGCCTTAAAGCGCTCATACAGTGGAAAACCGGATCTTCCTCTCATTTTTAGAAATAAAACAGTCATATATAAACATTTCCAGAGTTTCAAAACATATCAAGTCCCCATATATACGGAAACTAAGCTGCACAAGCAGCCTGTTTTGAATTCACTGGTTCTGTGATGTCACAAAATGCCATACATTTACATGCATCTGCCCATTCAGTGTACAGCAGTTTAGCCCCACCTGTTCACACTGAAGTTATAATGTTTCAGGCTAGACAATGCACAGTACAATGCACTGCATCAGAACAGACATCGTTTACATACAGTCATGGCAAGATATATTAGTTAGCCTGCAATTGAAATGCCTTGTTATTTGCATACTTTCTTTGTTTGGACTGAAACGGCACAAAAAAGCCAAATCTGATCTTATTCTACACATACAAACTCTGGACTGGACAATTTTATTGGCACCCTTTAGAAATTGTTAGATATAATTGGATTTCTAGTAAGTAAACCTTGTTTAATTTGTCAGTAAACACACTTTTGACAAGTTGTAGGTGTAAGCAATATAGAAATCCTAGTTTTAACCAGTTTAAACAACATCAAGAAGTTTGCAGCCCATAACACTTTAGCTGACCCCTCTGGATGTGGACATAAGAGAGAAGTTGACGAGAGATTGCAATGAAGGATTGTTTAAATGGTACAAAAGAATCTGTCAACCTCCAAACAAATTCAAGCTGAGCTGCAAAAACATAGTACACACTATCTGTCGTCACCAGAATGAATGGGGGCTCTGTGGTAGGAGGTCCAGGAGGACCCCAGTGTAGAAACAGAGGCATAAAAAGGTCATATTTAGAAAGTCCTTCAGGGAGAATGTCCTGTAGACAGATGAGATGAAAATAGACCGTTCTGCTGAAGCACCTCGCTGTTATGTTTACAGAAAACAAAATTAACACAGTCCCTACAGTCAAACACTGAGGAGGTTCACAGATGTTTCGCTGCTTCTGGCACCGGTGTCTTAAATGCGTTCATGGCATCAAGAAATCCGAGCAGTGCCAAAAATTTTTGGAGCGCTACGCAGGGCCCAGTGGCATTACGATTTTGGACTTTGTCCTGCTAAAAGCGCCTTGACTATGACCCAAAGCATCCATCAGAAAGCATCCAGAATTGGTTTAAGACTAAGTGCTGGGCTGTTCTGAAGAGTCCAGACCTCAATCCCATAGAAGACCTGTCGCAGAAGCTTAGAGCGGCAGTTGGGAGAAACAGCCTTCAAATCTAGGAGATCTGTAGCAGACTGCACATTTTAGCATTTTAGCTAAATTTAATAAGCAAATAAATACAGTGGCCAAGGCCAGTTTCTTCCGGCTCAGAACAATCTCCAGATTAAAATCATTTCCCAATGCTTCAGATCAGGAAGGTCATTCCTGCCTTTGTGACATCTAGTTTGGATCACTGTAGTGCGCTGTGTTTTGGAATTACCAAAGCATTGTTTGCTTGTCTACAACTAGTTTGACATGCTACAGCCAGAATGTTAACTGGTACAACGAAAAGAGAGCACATTACTCCAGTTTTAGCGTCCTTACACTGGCTCCCAGTGCATTGCAGAATCCAGTATAAAATGGCACTGATGGTTTTAAAGCCTTTTGAGGTCAGGCACCTGCATATGCTGTGGACATGCTTTGTATGTATGCGCCCTCGAGATCTTTTAAGGTCTGTGTCCCAGTGACTTAACTGTGACATTAGGTATGCACCATCTGTGACCTTTTTTTTTAATAACCAAGCTTAAAAAAATACATCTTCATCGATTAACATTCAGCAGCTGTTAAACTGTGGAGCTGTGAACTGAGGACTGTACACTGTTGTGTTAATGCACAATGCTGTTCAGAAGGTGAAAATCCTTTTTGTCTTTAGCTGTAAAGCACTTTGTTTTTAAATGTGCTATATAAATACAATTTACTAATGGTTTTAACAACAAATCATAAGTCAGTAAATTAGCAAGAATTAAACAAATAGATGCAGTAAGTTATCATGGGAGATCTTTTCCCTTTAATTTCTTTCAACATTGAAATCTTGTGTGTGTGAATTTGCAGACAGTCTTCAAACAGCTGAAAACAATAGCTGAGCTAGTTTGTGTTTGAGATCAAATATTTTCAGTAGGATTTAAATCTGGACTCTGAGCAGCCAAAACCATTAGTGTTTTGGACAGGTTTTTATTTATTGATTTATTGATTTATTTAATGCACAGCAGTGTAATATACTCGCAATATACTATGATGCGAGTGGACAAAGTATGGTATTATTAGTGAAAAATTGTGGAAAGCTACTTTTGACAATTTCAACTGTGTATTTTAGGACCATTTTTGATTTACTCAGGAAAAAAAGGCAAGGGTGCCAATGTTTATGACCATGACTGTACCTCTCCTCTTGAGGCACAATAACATAAACAGTCCCTTCAGTTCTAAGGGATAAAGAGAAGTTGAAAATTTGTCTGTATTTTCCAAAAACAGTCACAGTGCTGACCCATGTCAAACACAAGGCCCGCGGGCCAAATCAGGCCCACAGCACAAGTATTTTCATTTTCTATTAATATTACCGCAGAGACTGAGCTCCTGGGGACATTTCAATTTTGAATATTTCATATGTCCATTTAATATTTCAAGATCTACAAGTGTCTGTGTTTTACTGCTGAAGTTTTTGCGTATTTTGAATAAACAGTGGCCAGTTGGGGTATAGCTTAATTAATTAATCATTTAAAAATGGTAATTAACATATGCCCCTTTTAGTGGTTGAGTTTGACACCCCTGCTGTAAGGTGACCTCAGGGAAAAATTCCACCTATAGGCCCTTTTAAGATGAATGTAACGTTTAGGCTGTATCCAGTACGATATTCAGAAAATCAACAGTAACTGCTTTCCTGGTCCTGTTTGAGAGCTCTTTTCTGTTTGTTTCTGGCAGGTTATTCAGGCCTCACGCTGGATTCCACCGGCTCCAGACTGTTCTGCAACTGCACAGACGACAACGTGTACATGTTCGACATTAGTGGACTGAAAACAGCACCAGGTGCAGAACGATTACTCATTCATCCTGCTTTATTTAAGTGGGGGACTTTATTTGGACTCACTTCTCAGAGTTTACTGAACATGTTCCTCCAGACCTGCATGTGTTTTGACTTATTCATATTTAGCAGTGTTAATAATGTGCCTGGACTGAGAATATATTGCTTCTGTTGTAACTAAACTTTGTGTCTCAGAATTTACTGGAGAAAAATGTTCTTACCTTGTGATATATTTCTAAGGGTCCATTCATTATGAAGCTGTAACAGCTGTTGTGAAGGGCAGCTGCAGTTTTCAAATGATATAAAACAAGTAAACAGAATAAAAACAAAGTAGTGCATTTGATACAATGTACAGGGAGCACTTATCTGATATTTATGTAGTGTGTTGCTATATTTAATCCGTGCATTTCTGTGTTTTCACAGTGGCTGTGTTCAGCGGTCACCGTAACTCTTCTTTCTATGTGAAGTCCAGCGTAAGTCCGGATGATCAGTTCCTGGCCAGCGGCTCCAGTGACTTCCACGCCTACATCTGGAAGGTGAGCTGCTTTAGTCTGGAGTGATCATACAGTCATATGCAAAAGTTTAAATACCCCTGGTCAGAATTACATGCTTTATTTAGGAAAATAACAGATTTTATCCTAGTTTTAGTGAAGATTTCTTTTATATTTATCTGCTGGATTGAACATAAACAGGTTCAACACGTGATTCTGATTCCTAACTCATGTTTAATTTGTAGATCTCTAATCCAGCACAAGCTCCAGTGATGCTGCAGGGTCATAGCCAGGAAGTGACCTCAGTCACCTGGTGCCCCACAGATTTCACAAAGGTAAACTGCATTAACATGTTGCCCACACAGCGACAAAGTTGACCTCCAAAATATTTCATGAATTGAAATGGAGGACCAGCAAAGACACTTGATAGATAAAACATGTTTGCATGCTGTAATGTTACTATAATAAACATGTTATAACAGTATAATATTGTTACTATATCACCTAAAATGCCTAGCAAGAACTGGTGAGACTGTACTAAAGCAGCACAAGGATTAGCTCAATGCTAATGGCTGTAAATGTGTATGTTGTATCACTTTTTACATTACATTACATTAACCCACTCTGGTATCGCAGTAATGAGAATTTGCCAACCATTCACTGAACTGAGCTGGCCCACATAACACACACTCCCTGTGTATCTCTCTGCAGATCGCTACCTGCTCAGATGACAACACCGTGCGGATCTGGCGGCTTAACCGTGGTGTAGAAGGGGAGAGGTCTTCTGTTGGAGAAGCTAACCTTGTAGGCTGGGCACAGCGCAAAATTCAAACTCCATCTCGGTCATCTGGTAGGTTTATATGCACTTGTTCTCTTACATTTTCCTGCTGTCAACCGAGCACTAAAATCCTAAGAATTGCTAGTTCCGTTTTAAGACCGCATACCTCAACTCGGGTTTTCTGTTTTTGCTGAGTGTCTGCAGAAGAATAGATTCCAGTCTCGATAGGATGCTGGTTCATAAGTCCAACTTTTAGATCCTTGCTAAAATCTTCTGGCTTGAATGGTTTTAACACAGATATTTCTCATAACAAACATGTCTGACTGTAGTTCATCTTGTTTACAGGAAGCAGCATTTTTTTAACTGTTCACAAGCTTTTTAGCGGTGCAGGATTTAGAAACTGGATTTTTTTTTTTCCTGTTGGCTTATTAATTCCACAGAAAACATAGATCCTTGGTGAATTTGTAACCCAGTGATGTGTAGTATATGAGGGGGCGTGGCCACACCTGTGCAATGTTGATACAGCCACACCCCCAAGAACTGAAACAGTGCAAATGAAGATGTAGGAATCAAGTTCTGGAGAAAAATGTTGTGTATGTTATTGTTGTTAGTACACCTACTAGAAACTTGATCCCTGGTTCTGAACTCTGATCTGTCTGTCTGTCTGTCTGTCAGGCCATTTTGCCCATATGGAGCTCACCCCTGCTCGGATCTCCAGCATGGCCAGTGTAGGTGGTCTGGCTTCTCCTCAGCCCGGATCCTGTCCGTCCAGTGATGCTGATTTGCCTCCTGCGTCCAGCACCTCCGTACCTGCTCACAAAAACAGCCCCACCCACCCTAAGACCCCTAAAACCCCCCAAACGCCCTCCTCCATCCGTCACTGGGTGTCCCGTACACCTGGTTCCCACGGTAACCATACCACACCCCCTCTCCGGAAGGTTCTGAGCCCATGTCCTCAAAGCCCTGAGCGCGTCTCGCCTTCTGAGAGGAGAGCAAAACGACGCCTGGAGACGAGCGACACCACCCTGGATCACCATGACAACAGCGACGGTGTTGCTGAGCTGTGGCCAGGCGCCAAAAGGAGCCGAGGGTCAGCCGGAACTTTCCAACACTCAGCAGAGGAGGAGGAGGCAAAATCTGCGAGTTTGGAGCTGAAAGAAGAGCCGCTTACATCGTCTGTCCAAGCAGACAAGGAGAACAGCTCACCGTCCAAACCAAACTGGCTCTCTGCAATGAGCCGAAGACTTAAACAGGCCCAGAAAGGGGCAGCTTTATCCAAGAGTCCAAACGGGGGCAAGAGACACGAATCCAGGGCACAGTCTGTTTCTGTAAGTTTTTTTTACTTCTGTCAGAAGTGTTAACAACACGGTCACAATATTTATCTATTTTTAAACGCTGCCATAGAACTATAATTTTGTGTTCAGTGTTTTACAATCCAAAAAAATACTAATTATGCTCTCTGTAATGAAACATGCTGTTGAAGTGATTTTGAGTACTGACCATTTCCACAATATGCTTTTCTGAGCATATTGTGAATTCATTTATCACAATAATGATAGATGCATTCATGTTTCCCAGCCCTATTCAGAACAGCACTATATTATTGACTGTCTGCTCTGTTTACATGCATACTAACCCTGATTGCACACCGCTGACGATAAAACCACTGATGGGCATTTCGAAGCAAAAGCAGCCAGCCAGGACATTCGATTGAATTATAGGGTCATAAACATTTTTAAAAGCATAACAGCAGGTAACGTCTAGTGCTTAGCCAGAGTGGACAATATTTATTAACAAACATTGAGACCAAACCATGAGACCAAAATATAGTACAGTGGATATCAAAATTAGGATAAAGAATTTTGAATATTTAACTTCGACTGGTGTCGCTGGCTATCAAAATGAATGAGCTCCAGCTGCCTTGTCACATTAGTTGCTGGCAGTGTGCTTGCAGGGTCATGGTTCAGTATTAGTCTGACTAAGACTCTTAGTCTAAAGTATGACCTGGTTGAATGATTTGTGGAAAATCTAAATGTGAGTTGTCTAACAATATTTAGATTGCAAATAAATGCAGTTATATTCTGTAAAGTATGCTCCAGTTGTTTCTTAACCAATGCTGAATGTAGTTGGCCACAAACTCAGAGTTAAGTTAAATTGCTCCACTTAAAATTTAAAGGGCCCATATCCTACATTCTTTTTGTTTTAATATTCTTTCCCATTATTTTTTTGTGGCCATTTACCAACCCTTTTTTTCCTCTCTAGCAAATAAACAGGCTGTTTTTGTTACTGTGTCTTTAAGACTGATGTATGTAAATGAGCTCTGCTTCATTTAAAAGCAGTCCAGGCGGAAGGACTCCTTATATATATCATCAGTATGATGGGCAGAGCTAATCTGCTGTAGACTGAATAGGTGGAAATATGTAGATGTGTTACTTTTTGTGACTTTACAGAAACCAATTTAAAACAGGCTATTTTTGCAGCTAAGTTTCCATATGTGGACTGAAGAGTGAATGTTGAACAAAATTACAACAAAATTTGTCACAAAATTAGCTTTTTTTTCATGATACAGGCTCTTAAAGATGAGCGTGAAGAATGTACGATTTTCTTTCAGTTGCACTATTTAAAATCTTGGCCAGACTTCTTAGGACAGATTTGGATATAAACACTTGGATCGCTTCGCTGACTGTCTCACTGAGCTTTTGCGGTGCTTTCTGCAGGACCACACAACTGATGAGCACAAGAGATGAAAGACGAGAGAGCCTGAGAGAACGAATCCCTTGCGTTAGATATTTATATATTTGACTGGAATGAGGAAAAAAGGAATGCTTCATATTGTAAAGTCAGACTATGCTGCCATCAGAGGAGCTGTAAATTGATTACTGACTGGACAGTCCAGTTTATTAGATAAATAAGAACTACTGTGTTTATTTATTGGACTAAATAAGAACTTAGTCAGGCTACTGTGTGTGTATAAACATAGTTATTGCTTTAGCTGTTTTTGTGCGGATTTATTGACTTATGTGTCTTTCTTCTTTTTCAGACGTCAAGTTCTCCACACTCTGTGAGGAAGATCTCCTCCCCGCAAGCTAAGCAGACGTCTTCTCCACGTTCCATGAAGAAGATTTCTTCATACTTTCAAAAAACACCTCAGAAATGATTCTTAGGTTTTTAAAATCTCCAGGAAAGGTCCAGGCTTCAGATCTGACCAGAGACTTTTAGTTGGACCCACCATCGTTCTGGTGTTCCTGGAGGAACATCAGAGACGGGAATAAAATTAAATTTTTCAAAAGCGTTTTTATAAGAAACATGCAGTGCTGCATGTATTATATTGTATATTTTACCCTTCTTCATTTTTTTAAATGAGAAAATTCAGAGGGGGGATTTTATGTAAATTGACAAAGTATATGTGATAATTATAACTGTACATTTTACATAAATATTTCCTATAGTTCTCTAACTGTTTGTTCACACTAAATTTTAATGTAAGTGTAAAACACTGACTGTGTAGCTTCTGTATGTGTACATAACACTGCCCTGTTTGTATTCCACATTTTTGGTTGCTGTGTTGGTCTTTAACTGGTGATCAATTAAATTAAGACATGGTCTGAAAATCTGTTTCCTCATTGAGGTTCCTGGAAATGTAGCAGTTAATTCAGGCCAAAAGTGTTCTGTTTAAATTGCATTCTTTATGTAGAATCAGTAATAGGCTTTACATATTAATCTGGACGTGAGGCTCAGCGGTGAGGAATTCTCTGCATTTTAGGACCACTTTCAGTTAATTAATACATCAATTTTTAGATTAATGTATGTGCACCCTGATGCACACTTATGGTGAGTAGTTTGTAGTACTTAAATCCATAATCATACAAGTCGTTATTGTATAGAAAACAACAAAAATATTTAATATGGCAACAGGTTCCAAGCTTTTCAACAGTAATGCAGTGGGGTGCAAACTTATCTGCAAAGAACCTGTATAGCTGCAGGTTTTTATTCCAACAAAACAAGCACATGTGATCAGTTGTTGAAGACTGAGACTGATTAAAGGACTGGAATCAGGTGTTTCCCTGCTTCTTTAGACTGAAAACCTACAGCCACTCTGGCCCTTTGTTGGTAAGACTGGATACCCCTGCAGTAGTGTATATGTGCCATGTTTTTAATCATCAAGCTATCAAACTCAGCCATTAAAATGGCAATATTAAAAAACCTTAGCAAATCCATGGGCCAGCTGTGTTTTTATTTCAGTTTTACTTGACATTTTGCCATGACCTGAACTGGCCACTGTTTATTCAAAATATGCCAAAACTGCAACAGCAAAACAGGCATTGAGATCTTATTCAAAAATAATTTTAAATACAATTAATCATACCAATTTTTCAAAACTGCCTATTTTCCTGAACTAGACACCAGACATCTATTCTTTTTGCGTAACCGCTGGCCCAGAGATTGTTGTTGGGGGAAGGGGGTCAGAACGCACACTTTGTTGCAGTGCATGCTGGGGACTGTAGTGCATTTCAGGCTAAAAACATACTTAAAATTATAATCATTTCGTAGGCCATATAGGACTATGTCACGGGCCTGACTTGGCCTGTGGGCCTTGTGTTTGACACATGGGCTCTAGGTGAAGGTGGCATCTGTTGCTGAAATCTAAGTCTAAGACTCAAAGGGAATATAATATATAGTATTTGACCTTTTCTTGACTTGATTTCTATTTTGTTATGGTTATAAAACAGAAAAACAAATCTGAGTCATCAGTTCAAGTACTGATACTGCTATTGTTAAGCCCTTACATGACCCGGACCCAGCGGTGGGCCTGAAGTTTTATTACACACTTCTATATCATAAGAATAGCTCAACCGGTTTGCATTGAAGTCCCTGTAGTTACTGAATAAAAACAAGCCTGGGGTTTTAAGGAGTTAAGTAAACAGTTTGGCCAAAGTAAAATTGGTCAAATCTCCCACCACCTTACTGTAAATATAGTCAGTCAGCCCAAACATGTTTGGTGTCTGAAGTTTGCTTCTTCAGTTTTAGCACTAGAGGTACAAGGCTAATGTAGCTAACAAGCAATGAAAGCTTAATCCCCCACCAATTAGCGTGGTGCTAACTCTATCCCTAAATCACAAGGCTGAGTTTGAGGCCAATGTGTGATGATTCGGACATGCAGTTAGCAGCAGTGCTAACTGGGTGTAAATGGAAGTGTTTATGTGGTTTCTGACTTAACATACATTTATCCATTTTCGTATTAGCTACATTAGCTTTGTAGCTCCAGTGTTAAAAGAAGCAAACTTAAGACACCAAACATGTCTTCAACTATATTTGTGTCAAAGAGGGAAAATTGAGTAAATATTTTTTGAGTAAATAAAGATTTTTGGCCAAACAATAACTTCACTGATTTTCGTGTCAACGCATTTCAAACTTTTAACTTTTTGGGTGTAACCTCCAGTCTGAGTTGAAATGTGGGGAAAGGCCACCAGGGGGCAACAGATATGTTCCCATCAGTCTCACCTACTGACCTTGAAATCTTAAAGTATGTAAACTCTGAATGTACTGGATGAGTGTGTCTTTTTGAGTTTCTGAGTCAAACATTTTATACACCTGCATATACAATTTAAGATATGAAATATTGAAGTGTGAGCTACAGCTACATAGAATGTTGGGAAACTGAGTTTGTAAACACAAAGCTACTGCTGGGTAACAGTTGAAGGACAACTACAAAACAGTTTTTGCTGTGTTGCAACAAAAAGAACTCTTTAGGTGTAATTTCATTAGGAGTTAAAGGAGAACAACCACCACTGCATGTTCTCAAGTCGAAACGTTTCATTACACTACACACTTTAAAAAGACGTTTTAAGGGTTTTTAAGCAAAAAGCTATATATACTATATAGAACCACGCACAACACATTCTCCATCAGTCCAAAGAACCATTTCATGATGCAAAAAACCCTTTAATCATACAGAGGGTTCTTTGACTTCATTTTCTTTACTAAAGAACTCTTGAAGAACCTTTTTTTAAGGGTGTAGGGACTATTTGCAACTGGTTATAGCTACGGTGGCATGCAGAAGTTTGGGCACCACTGCTCAAAATGCCTGTTACTGTGAATAGTAAAGTGAGAAGAAGATGAACTCCAAAAGGCAAAATGTTAAAGATGAAACATCCTCTTCAGCCTTTTAAGCAAGACTCGTGTATTATTTTTGTTTTGTATAATTTTAGAGTGAAAAAAAATGAAAAAGCACCCTGCAAAGGTTTGTGCACTCCAGAAGATTTGAGCTCTCAGATAGCTTTAGCCCAGGTCTCAGGCCTTAATTAGTTTGTTAGGGCTTTGGCTTGTTCACAGTCATTGTTAAGAAAGGCCAGGTGATGCAAATTTCAAAGCTTTATAAATACTCTGACTCCTAAAACCTCCCAACAATCAGCAGCCATGGGCTTCTCTAAGCAGCTGCCCAGAACTCTGAAAATTAAAATAACTGATGCCCACAAAGTGAAAAAGGTGGTAAGAAGATAGCAAAGTGTTTTCAATGTAAATAAGAAATGGAAATCAACAGGAAGGTCTGAAAGATGAAGAAAATTTTATGAGAGAACTGCTCATTGGATTACTAGAAAGGCAAATCAAACACCTGCACAAATACATCCTTCATGGAAGTGTCATCAGAGGGAAACCTTTCCTGCATCCTCACCATAAAATTCAGCATCAGACATTTGCAAAGGGACCATCTTAACAAGCCTGATGCATTTTGTCATGTGCACTGATGAAGTTGAAATAATTTTTAGGCTGCAATGCGAAACGTATGTTTGGACAAAAAAGGGAGCAGTATTTCATGAAAAGAACTCCTCTCCAACTGTTAAGCACAGGGGTGGATTGATCATGCTTTGGGCTTGTGCTGCAGCCAGTGGCACAGTGAACATTTCACTGGTAGAGGGAAGAGTGGATTCAATTATATACTAACAAATTCTGGAAGCAAACATTACACCATCTGTAAAAAGCTAAAGATGAAAAGAGGATGGCTTCTACAACAGGATAATGATCCTAAACACAACTCAAAATTCACAAAGGGACTACCTCAAGCTGCACAAAATGAAGGGTTTGTCATGGCCTTCACAGTCCCCCCCACCTAAATATCATTGAAAATGTGTGGAGAGACCTCAAAAGAGCTGTGCATGCAGGGCAGCCCGACTTCTAGCTGGCTAGAAAATGCAGGGTGCCCAAAGTTTTGCTTCAGGTCCTTTTTATTTTTTGTTATTTTGAAACTGTAAAAGATGGAAATGAAAAGTAATCTCACATAAAATATTAAAGAAATGTCATCTTTATGCCTTTTGGAAATGAGGTCATCTTTTCACTCGCTTAGCTTTTCACAGCAACAGAAATTTTGACAATCGGTGCCCATACTATATTCATAGTGATATCAACATTAAGTCTAGATAATACAGTTTAATACTCATTTTTCACTACTTTTACACAAAAGGTCTAACATGAACAGTAATTCTCTTCTCTATACTGTTTCTTTTTTTGTTTTTTTAGCTGGAGCGTACTGTTAGCACCCATGTGGTTCTGGTTCAGTTCAATTCCAGCGCAGACAGACGAGTTGAACTGGTCCTGCCACAGCCTGACTTATGCATTTTATCCCTCTGGGCTTATGTAGGAAAGAAAACACAGGTCAGTAGGAGAAGAGTGCAGCTAAAGTGAAGTGAAGCAATGAAGAGTCATAAAAGGCAAAATATTAGTTGTTGCTTTGACCTTAGAGATGAACTAAGACATCTGTTTTTTTTTGTTTGTTTGTTTTTTTACTGGGTTCATATTTGTGCAAAATATGGCCTACATTCACTTTGTTGATCATTTGTTGACAGTAGTTTACCACTTAATGCAGTGTCTCCCACACCCAGAGACCTTCTCTGTTTTTCCTGCTCTAACATACAGATCATACTGGGCTTGAAAATGTGATGATGAGTTGTATTAGATGTGTTAGATTCAAGAAAAACAGAAAAATCTGCACACTTTGCCTAAGAGTGGAAACCATCCTCTTACTTAAAATTCCATTTGAAGGCACAATCAAATGTAAATATGTGTGTAAAGATGAATCCATGAGCGTTCACACAGTCAAACTGCATTAAAGAGGAATTTCACCAATTCCACTCCAACCTTTCTCCAGAATTAAATAGTTGAAATTTAAACAGTTATTCAGAGTGGTTTGGTGTGAAATTCTTTGTTCTAGAGAAACTTACCGAGTCAGAATTTGTTCACAGTGGTGGTGATAGGATCCAGACATCTGAGGAGTGTAATGCCTCTATCAGCTCCCTCATGTGAAATGGTTATGATTATGCTGCCCTCATGTCCAAGACATTGCTTTTACAATAATTTTGAGAAGGTTTTGGTCTAAAAATTTTTTTGCGTTTTTTAAAAGCAATTCATGGCGGAGAGGTACATCATAAGGCAAACAGTCCCCAAAGTGACCCCCTTTTTTTAAGATTTACCACAATACATTTTAAAATAAAAGTTTGTTAAACATAAAATATTTGTGGTGTAGTCATAGCGACCCCTGGTTCCTATCAGCACCACTGTAAAGAAATCAGAGTCTCTACAAACAACCATTTCACACCAAACCACTCTGAATGACTGTTACTGACTTTAGCAGGAATTTTGACAAATGGGTGGAATTATAATAATAATTGATTTATATTGACTATATGATGACAATATACTACAACTTTTAGTTTCTATGTTTTTGTTTTTGTTTTTTTTTGCATTAAAATTCCAATTAAAGCAGTTTTACATAAACCGGACCCACTGACTGGCCCCAAGCGTGCAGCTTGAGGAACTCGTCCCAACACGAATCTGATTGGCCGCAGCGTAAGTCGAGCCTACGCGCTGATTGGACGCACCTCCAGTCCCGTCGCCGTGCGCAGCCTATAGCCGGAGTGGTGGGCGGAGCTTCTGCTTCTGTCATTCACTCCACACTGAGCTGCACATTCACCATAAAGGTCAGACTTCAGCGCTTCGGCGGCTGGAAATAAAACTTACTGCGTCGATTGTGCTGCTGCTCTGCGAGCTTGTTAGTCTTCTTTTTTGCCTGTGTTCGTCTAGGCTTGGATTTAGGTCGAGAATAAGCCGCGGAGTAAATCGATAGTTGCATCAACAAGGCTGCAAAATAATAATAATCCCGTTTGGATGAGCTATGCTCCACTGTGGAGGACGCTGGGATGACTTTATGGCTTTTAAATGGGAAAACTCGGCTATGAGGCACTTTACGTTTTGATCATTTGGGCTGACAACCTGTGGATGAGCCTGGAGAAGAAAAAGAAGCCCATCATGGCCACAACTTAAAGCTCTAGACGCCATTAGCTGGGTATTAGTTTTGTATTTGTATTGGGTCCCATGCTTGTCTTAGTTTGGTGGTCACTCTAGTCTGCTCCTATGGGCCTCTAACACCAAAAACCAAGGGCCCCACTTCTTCTTCTTCAACTTCTTGGACAAAATAGGCTCTCCTCTGCATTGATAGGCTTTGCAAGACACCCAGCTGCTGTCTATATCTGTTTATATTTGTGTGTCAAGATGTCGTCTGGGATCTCAGCCACTGAAAAGGTGGATGGATTCACTAGGAAGTCCATGAGAAAGGCTCAGAAGCAGAGGAAAGCCCAGGGATCAGCCCATTTCAGGACACAGGGAGGAAGCCTGAGCCCTGGTGAACTTTCAGCCTTGCCCCAGCTCAGAGGTAAGGGGATAAGATAAGATACTGCACCACATTTGGACCTCAGTTAACCATGCCAAAGCCTACACTCTTATAAATAAAGGTTTCTAGATGGTCATTGATTAGGGCATGCAGTTCTTGGAGAAACCTTTAAACCTTTTTTTGGTATTAAACCTTCTTTAAATTTGAATATCTCATTTAGAAAAATGGTTCTTTGAAAACCTATTCATTCCCGTGTTTTTCAAGGAACCAGAAGTGGTTCTCCCATGGCATCGCTCCAGAGAACTTCTTTGGGACTTTGAACCAGCAAAAGCTATTGTGGTCTGTTGGCCCATAACAGTTAAACATAGATGATCCTTGACCCAAGGATACAACATTTAAAGCTTGTTTTGTTTTTGCTTGACCAGTCAGGCTTGCTGTCAAAGGTATAACATAAGAGAACTGCCAGCTTGTTCAACTCCTTCAGGCCTGGACTAACTTTGCTAAAAATGCTTAGTCTAACCTGCAAAAATACCTAGCCTACCTAAAACCACTCATATAATGCCCACATGTGAAAGAGGCATGTCAAATCCAAAGGTTTCTTCCTCCAGAAGAAGCCCTTCCAGGCCACAACATGCTCTAACTGGGAAATTAGGCACCACTTTCTGGGTATTCTAACTTCTTTGGACCTTCTTTTTGCTCATTATTCATTTTTTGGCCTGAAATACTGGTACTACTAACTATGATAAACACAACCAGTTTAGCTTATTCAGTGTTTTTACAGCTTCTTTCTGATTCTTCAGCTTCCTTTGGGCCTGAACTAGCCATACAAATGTGACTAGTTCATTTTGTTGAATGTTTTTGGACCTTCGTTTTGCTTATTATACTTTTTTGGCCTGAACTAGCACTGCTAACTACTAATAGTTTAGCTTATTCAATGTTTTTACTTCATCTTTCTGCTTTAACTTCTTTGGGCCTGAACTAGCCATACAAACCATGACTAGTTTATTTTGTTGAATGTTTTTAGATCTTCTTTTTGCCTATTGCACTTTTTTTGGCCTAAACTAGCGCTGCTAAACACAACTAGTTTAGCCTGTTCAACATTTTTGGACATTATTTCTGCTTATTCTGCTTATTATGCTTATTAAATCTTTGGATCTGACCTGACCTGGCATGCCATCCTTCCTAGCTTAACTTACAAAATACACTATGTAGCCTACCACAACAAATTCAAAGGTTTCATCCTCCAGAAGAATCCCCTCATGATCCCAACAAACTCTAGCTGGGAAAAATTAGGCACTGTTTTCTGGGTATTTCACCTTGTTCAACTTTTTTGGACCTTCTTTTTGGTTATGCTTTTTTGGCTTGTACTAACACTGCTAATCACAACTAGCTTGTTGTAAGCTTTCAGACATTCTTTCTGTTGTTCAACCTGCTTGGGTTCTTCTAACCACAAGTAGCAAAAGTTGTTCAACATTCTTTGGGCGTTATTTCTGCTTGTTCAACTTCTGGGCCTGAACTAGCCATTCTCCAAACAAGGAGACTGTACATCCTACAAGGACTTGGCTGTGTTTCGTAAAGCAGGATATCTGAGTTTGCCAGATAACTTCAGCCTGAATTGAAGGCTGATGGCTATTAGACATTCCTATTAGACAACCCTCTGTTTTGGTTTAAGTTGTTAGGCTAAAATGCTAATCCTGCTTTGTGAAATACCCCCTGTAGAGCCATATTAGTTAGGACATGTAAACAAGCTGTCTCATCGTGAGGAAAGCCACAGAATATTTAATGCATAATAAAAATGATCCAAAATAAAGCCAGTCTAGCTGCCATGTTGAGGTTATTTAATGCTCAAACTTTTAACAGTTAATGAAATGATCCAGTTTGATTTGTTTGCAGATGCTTAAACGCAGTCAGCCTGGTCAATCCAAAGGTTTACGCTTGTGCCCACCACCCAGAAATCTACCTCACTCTTCATCTAAGTTGTTCCACACTTTCAAGCAGAGCGGGTTTGCTTACTTTGTGAAATTACAGTTCTCAGCTGTAATTGGCACTGCGCAGTCTCCAAATGCATGAACTTTGCCTTGCATTCATGTGGCTGTTGCTGACCAGTGACGATTTCAGATATCTTGAAGCTTGTAGAGTTGTGACTAATGCTTCACTGTGAGTAAAAGTCATTTAAATGGGAGAGAAGGCTTGATATCAAACAAAGAAGGGACGAGGCTGAAGTTGGCTTCTTATTTGAATTTTCCTTCCACCTTAAATGTGCAGTTACATTCTGGTGCCTGTGAAAATTGAAATAAGAAGCTGGTCTCAGCTTCGTAATGAAGGGGTTCATAAGGATTTAGCCACCATCCATTGCTGTCATAGAGCTGGAAGTGGCTCTAAACCGGCCAGTGGTTGTAGCAGGTTTTTAGCAGTAATGGCCTCCATGCCTGTAGGCCTCAATGCATTATGTGCTGTAAAATGGGTTTGGGTGAGTGGGGGGTCGTCAGATAGCCCCTAGCAGTAAGGAGTGGTTAGCATTGCAGTGAAATCTGGTTGAACTACATGACCCCTTGACCGCTATACAGGATCCAACGTTAGGCTTGTTTTGTTTTTGTTTGATTAGTCAGGCCTGCTGTCAGAGTCAGGGCAAAGGATGTAACATAAGGCCTTTTTGAGACATTTCATCTTGTTCAGCTTCTCTAGACATGATTTTAAGAAGCCAAACAAGGGTTGTTCCAATTAATGAATTATACTTGGTTGAAGAAATGATTGATTGAAATATATCTTCTCAGAGAATTGTCAACGATTATTTGGCAGCCTGCATAATTAAAAAGCATTTGTAAATTTTCATGTGGCTCTATTTTTTGCCTGACCGAGACTGAAGGATTTGTAAAATCCTGTGTTTAAAATATGAGAGACCCAGGGGAAGGCAAATATAGAGACTTGTACTGGCCACTCGGGCCACTAAGCTATGAATCTTGTGGTCAGAATAGTGTGTGTGTGTGTGTGTGTGTGTGTGTGTGTGTGTGTGTGTGTGTGTGTGTATCTTGCTGCTGTTGGAACAAATATAATATTAATAATAAATATACACACACACATGGGTGTTTTTAACTGTCATTTGCATTTGATTACTTTATCTCTAGTTATTTATTTTATCATCACATAACGTTGTTTTCTCAAGATATTTATAACAATATCACAACTTAATGAATGTTATCTCTATAAAACAGTTTTTATGTCATGATCAAAATATAAAGACGTCACAATCTCAAAAAAACAGTATTTCGTTTTGCCATGATAAAACATAAATATCACAAGGTTCTGAGAAAACTAATGAAAATGACTTATCACAGAACAACAGAGTGAAAAGTCATGCAAGTCTTGCCATGTGTATTTAAATTAACCAGCATGTTCCAGTTTTGAAACCCAGTCAGATGTTGCTTTAAAATAAGGAAATATTTATTAAAAACTTTACATTAAGAGGACCATTGTTGTGGTGGGCCCTGCCTCCCCCACCTTGTCACCACTCAATGGCAAGGTGCTAATTTCTGCTAGTTTTAGAGCACAGTTTCTACTTATTTATTGAATTTACCATACTGGGGGGGACCTAAACTATACTGAACTAACTTAACCTGTTCGTGTGTGTATGTGTGTAAATATTTAAATATTTCAAGATTTGAAAGGCTTTGAAGGGTTTGTTTATTTAGTTAAGTAAACTTTTATTATTTAGTCCTTTTTAAGACTCTAACCTCTCAATTAATCATCACCATAATCATAAAATCATAAATGACTCAATTACTAATACCAACAATAGTGACAGCTCTAATCAGCTGTTCATGTCGTTCACTTTGGCATATAATAACAGTGATATGGAACTGTTCAACCTCTGCTCACAGATAAATCAGAGTGACGGGGTTTACTGGCCTGACACTCTGCAGACCGCTCCATTTTTTTTTTTTTCCTTCTTTTTTTTCTTCTTTTCTTTCTCTTGTCCTGAGCAATCAGTGTCTCTTATTTTTGGACCACTTGCTTCATACACTGTAAGGCAGAGGTCATGGCAAATCTCATGTGGAAATACAAATGGGATGTTTACAGACTATTCTTTGTCACCTGATTCAATCAAACTGCTTGAAATAGTCAGAATATTATCCAATGTAACTGTACGCCAGCACAGTGGAACTACAATAGAGGGGTTTCCAATAAAGTGAACAGTAATAAATTTATTTCATGTGATATTTATTTTGTACATCTTGTGTATACAGTGCTGTGCAAAAGTCAGAGAACTTTCATTTATTTAATTTCAAGTCAAAAAAAGCTAGCACCATGTTATTCATTTTCAGGAGATATTTCTGAGGAGATTAGATATCAGATAATCCACCTGCATAATGAAGAGAAAAATTCAAAAGTAAATAAATGATAAACAGGAGTTTCTAAAACTGGAGTTTAAAAACTGATTAACCTTTTGACCAGCTGTTCGGCTGTTTGATTGGCAATGAAATAGATGAATGGTGGTCTTTTGCATAGTGCTGTACATATAATGCTTTGAATGTTCAGTTGGGGTTATTTGGTATTTTAGTCTGAGATGCACAAAAATATATTACTAATTATATTAGTTGTTTTAGATACAGTTGCTGCACGTCTTGAAAGTTTGTTGTTATTTTCACTTGTGCTTCTTTTTAAATTTGATTTAAAGGGCCCATATCATGGACAAAAGAATTACCTTTGTTTTTTAAAAATGTTGTTAAATGTTTTCAAAGATATCCTTCATTTCCCAGTACATACATTCCATATATGGAAACTAAGCTGTAAAACAGGCAGTTTAGAATTCATTTGTTTCTGTGATGTCACAAAAACCAACTTATTTATATATATGTGCCTTCAGCGTACAGCAGTTTAGCCCCTGCCCACTCATATTAAAGGTCTAATGTAGGGGTTGGCGACCCAAATGTTGAGAAGAAACATTCAAACAACCTTGGGAGCCACAGCATTTTATGTCCATTTTACCATCTTCGCTGTAAATATGTCTCAGTATGTGCTAATGTTCTAGTATAGGATAAAAA